GTACTTTACTTTAGAAATTGGGTTACTGCTATCCTGGCATAGCTGCTAAATTTCAAAATGGTCACAATTTTCCTGCTGGGGAATTCAAGAAGCAAACCCATAACTATTAAGGCCAAAACAGTCTTGGGTTTTTATTCTGTACACAGCAAAAGGTCAAGTTCAGCTCAAAACTATGCGCACTCGTTTTTAAACTGGCCTTTTCCTTTACATGTGCACAGAAATCCTGGATGCATTTATGAATTTGTAAAAGCTTTTCAATTCTCTATCTACAAGCCCTTTAAGAAATACAAGCTCTATTGTCGGCCCTTATAAAGCCAACTGCTCAAAACATTGGTCTATCATACCACTAAAATTATATTAAGACCGTGATTGCTAATTTAGTATTAAATAAATCTGGGAGGCAGGCACACTTTCTGCCCCATCTGCATTTCCTTAGTAAAACTCCGCCTTAAAACTCCACCCCTGAAATCCCATCCTGCCTCAGTGAGCAGACATTCCTTTTGTGATTGACTAAGTCAGAGGGAGGGGCCTGCTGTTCCAAGATGGCAGCCCCCAGGGGCACGGCATGCCATGCGGCCAACATGGCGGCTGCCAAGTCAGGCAGCTCAACATTGTGGCGGTCTAAACTGTTCTCTGACAGAAAGGATGATTTCCTCATTCTCACAATAAACAAGGGAAGAGCAAACCAAAACCCCTAAAAGATAGATGGCCAACATTATATTGCAGAACTTTTTAAAATCTTAGGTAGCAAATTAAATACACTAGCCCAAAACCCTATCCAAAAACGGACGGTGCGCACATTAGTTTTAAGCCAGCTTTTCTCCTAACACGTGCACAGAAGTCCCAGACGCATTTACTTGGGGAGGGGGTGACCTATTTCCACAGACCCTCACTCAGGCGGCCGCCCGACCGCCACACAAAGGAGGGGGGAGGGCAATCCCCCTCCCTCCACACTCCCACACTTTCACCAGACATTCATTCAGACTTTAAACAATCCATTCAATTCCTAACAACTTCCCAACTCCTGAGGGAGCTCTAAAGCTTCCCCCAATCTCCTTGAAATGATCAATCACAATACCCAAAGGAGCAGTCTGAGTCCATCCCATAACATCCGTCCAGTACAAACACAGAACACTAAACAGGGCCCGAAAATACAGGCTTCCAACTCCATGGAAGCAACTAGACGTTGGCCTTACGCCAAACCGGCAGGAGCGACCTGCCTCGTCTCAAATCCGCGAGGGGCATATCCATCCCTCGTGAGGGGCATATCCATCCCTCGTGAGGGGCATATCCATCCCTCCTGGGGTGAGGGGCATATCCATCCCTCCTGGGGAGCGGAACGTCTCCCAACTCTCCCCTGCCTGAGGTCGTTCACGGCGCGTCCGCCTAGACCCCTCAGGCAATTACAGGTTCCAGAAACGAGCTCACACTGAACAGAACATACAAGGACACACACATACCGCGGTCAGTCAGACTCTTCGGATCGGGGGTCCCTCGATGGTCTTGGGAATCCCGGACGAGCCCCCAAATGTTGTGCCCAGATTTCATGATTCCCAAGAACCCACAGGGAGCCAGCGAGTCCGATGCAAAAGCAAAGAGTCATTCATTTCAAACCTAGGTTTGGCTCCCCTGCCACACTCACCGATGCAACGGTAAGCTCCAGTGGCCGAGAGAGAGAAAACTCTGTGTGGAGAGAGCTTTTATAGGGGGTTGGGGTAAGGGGAGGAGAAAAGACTGTGGGCCCTGCCGATTGGCCAAGCGCGAGTCGGTGTCTCATTACACAGGATGTGGTCATAGTGATGGCGTGCACTTCCCTTGACTATCTTCCAGGAAGAAGCTTGCTGAGCACATGGCCAAGTTAAGATGGAGGGCATAGCCCTTACCCTGGGGCAAGGTGGAGGGCGTAGCCCTTATCCTGGGGCAAGGTGGAGGGCGTAGTCCTCGCCCTTTCATTTTCATTCACCTGCACCTCAGACCATGACAGTAGAGAGGTGGGACTATGTTTAAAGAACAACTGTTGATACAACGTAGCTCTGCAGCCAAAAGATGCCGGCGTTATCGACAGAAAATGTCTGAAGAGCAACATGCGTCTGATCTTGAAAGAAGGCGGCACCTGCGACAGAATGTATCTGAAGACCAGCTATTGGAAAAACGTTGCTCTGTTGCCGAAAAATACCGGCGTCATCAACAGAAAATGTCTAAAGACCAACGTGCCTTTGAGGTTAAAAGAAGGCGGTAGCAACGACAGAATATGTCTAGAGAACAGTCATCAACAAATACTACCAATTTTGGTAGGAACTGCCTTCTCAGCAAAAATGGAGTACATGAGGATGCAATTCTCGAACACAGTTGTGGTGGAATGACTATAGATGTGAATTTCGCCTATCACTAAATTTCTCTGATGAAAAACCATCTGATGGGAAATTTACTCAATGCTGTAGCAAAGGAAAAGTCTGTCCAAATGATATACATTTTCCAGATTACCTGGCTTATTTAAAAAGATTAATGACAAATGAAGATTCTGACAGTAAAAATTTCATGGAAAATATTCGTTCCATAAATAGTTCTTTTGCTTTTGCTTCCATGGGTGCAAATATTGCATCACCATCAGGATATGGGCCATACTGTTTTAGAATACACAGACAAGTTTATCACCGTACTGTAACTTTACATCCTTCGGATGATGTTTCTCGGAAGTTTGCTCAACTCTATATTTTGGATACAGCCGAAGCTACAAGTGAAAGATTAGCAATGCCAGAAAACCAGGGCTGTTCAGAAAGACTCATGATCAACATCAGCAACCTCATGCATGAAATAAGTGAATTAACAAAATCGTACAAGATGCTACATGAGGTAGAAAAGGAAGCCCAATCTAAATCAGCAGCAAAAGGTATTGCTCCCACAGAAGTAACAATGGCAATTAAATACGATCGTAACAGTGACCCAGGTAGATATAATTCTCCCTGTGTAACCGAGGTTGCTGTCATATTCAGAAAGGAAGATGGAGAACCTTCTTTTGAAAGGGACTTGCTCATTCACTGTAAACCAGATCCCAATAATCCAAATGCCACTAAAATGGAACAAATCAATATCCTGTTTCCTACATTAGATGCAATGACATATCCTATTCTTTCTCCACATGGTGAACAAGGCTGGGGAACATATTGCATTAAGACTCAGAGACAACAGTATAATCGACAATAATACTAGATAAAATGTAAGGCCACAAGTCACACAAATGCAGTATTATGGATTTCATCTCTTTGTGCGGGGCACGTTCAATCCTATTTTAAATGCAGGAAAATTAACTCAACAGTTTATCGTGGATTCATATTCAAAAATGGAGGCCAATTGGATAAGTTTCATCAAAGCAAACCAATTTAAGTTGCGAGTTGAAAAATATAGTGGTTTGATGGATTATCTCAAATCTAGATCTGAAAATGACAATGTGCCGATTGGTAAAATAATAATACTTCCATCATCTTTTGAGGGTAGTCCCAGAAATATGCAGCAGCAATATCAGGATGCTATGGCGATTGTAACAAAGTATGGCAAGCCCGATTTATTCATAACCATGACGTGCAACCCCAAATGGGCAGATATTGCAAACTATTTACAACACTGGCAAAAAGTTGAAAACAGACCTGACTTGGTAGCCAGAGTTTTTAATATTAAGCTGAATGCTCTTTTAAATGATATCTGTAAATTACATTTATTTGGCAAAGTAATAGCTAAAATTCATGTCACTGAATTTCAGAAACGTGGACTGCCTCACACTCACATCCTCTAATTAATTCCCTTAGGAGGGAAATATATAAATTGTGGCATAATCATTCAATAGGCTATTACATGACCATTAAAATGAGTGAACTATATCTACATGTATAAAAATTGACAGATTAAAAAATTAATAACAAAAGCAATTTGCAATAGGATATGTACTATATGATACCATTAATACAAATTTTAAAAATAATGAAACTGCATCTTTTACTTTATAGATAAATACATACAGGGTTGGGCAAAAGTCAGGTTACAGTTGTATGTGAAACAGTTTATTCTTGTATTATTATGTTTTAATTATTGTATTTGTTTCCAAGCAAACAACTATAGACCTACTTTTGCACCACCCTGTATATATGAAAAATAAACAACCTGGATAAACTTCCCACCTTCAGGCTGGTGGTGACCTCAGGGGAGAGATGGGGACATGACAAATAAAAGATGCTTTATTTCTCAAACAAAACAACAAATATCTGAAGCCAGTGTGGCAAAATGTTAACATTTATAAATTGGCTTGGTGGGTACATATGTATTTGATATTCTTCATGTACATTTCTACATTTTTGAAATATTTCATAATTTTAAAAAATTTAAGTGTGTGGACAGTTCAGGAGGTGGATGCAAAAAATAGATTATTATTTCACGAGTACTGACATAAAAGAAAGGAAACATAATGGTAGGTTACATTTTAAACAGGGAACATGCCAACCTCTTATAGTATATTAGAATATGTATATATGTATATACATTTTCACTTTCATTTGGAAACAGGTGAAAATAAGGGAAATGAATCAAGGCAATGACTGGGCTAAGTCTACTGAACTGCTTTCAGCCTAGTAAGTCTTATTGCATAAGAGGACTATGTAACCATCAGTGCCTGGAAACAAGAGCTTGGTTTTTCCCTTTTAATACTTTTACTATATTCACTTTTACATGTTTATCATGTTGGTTAGAATGTCGGTGAAGCTTGATTAATAACAATGATGGACATGTGCTGTTTCTGACTTTACTAGAAAACATGTGAAAGCAGTTTATTCCATAGCAATGAAAAGCATGCACTATGGATCAGACTGTCTGGGTTCCATCTCAGATGCTACCACTTACTAGCTAAAAACTTAGGCAAGTAATTTAATATGTGAGTCTCCCTTTGCTTAACTGTAAAATGGTGAATGATTAGGAAAAGTGTACTCTGGCTTTCTCTCCATTATTGGTCTTACCTGGATAGTTTCTTCTAGGCGGTAGCCCTCAAGGACTTGTAATGTCTCTATGACTTGGGTTGGGCTGAACTGACACAACAGCTCAATGAACTGTTCTGTAATACAGGGGGATATCTGCAGCAACTCCTGATTTACATGAATACCTTCCCTGAAAACATAAAAAACAAGAGTAACATCATTAATCACATCTATAATTAAAGCTTCAGGTAAAAAGAATGCTATCTTAAAACCAAGACTAACTTTTGGTCAGATAATATCATGAATTAAAAAATCTCACTGTTACTCAGATTATTAGGGTGAACTGTATATCATATCAGAAGCGCTCTAAATCACAATACTCCTCAGTTTACATTGAGTAATTAAGGAAATAATAGTCAGTAGAGCCTCCAATAAGTAAATCATACAAAAGTTATACTGTTGCTCTAAAAGAAACAGATGACCAATTCAGTTTAAACAATTTGATTCGTAACTATATACATGTATATATAAACCATCTTCCAGTCTCAACATTTCTACTATGCTTCCCTTATAGTACCAGTCACACCTGTTGTAATTCTTTAATTACTTGTCTTCTCTAAAAGACTATAAACTCTGTGAGGGTAGGTACCAGTTTATCTCCTCACTAATTAATTCTCAAAGCCTACAACAGTGTACCTTTACTGAGCACCCATTTGTTATGTCCCAAGACTATACTAATTTTGACAGCCATTAAAGTTAGCAGTGGGGTATACGGCAAAGCAGGCAGCTAATAGATGACTAATAGAAAGAGCTCTGAGAACTGGATATAACAAGTTGTATTTATGAGCAAGACTGATAAGCAACAGTCAGAAATGGATGTAAACTCATCAATGATGCAATTTACTTATTAACGTTCTGATGATGTTGATGCTGCCTAATCGTGTCCCAGCAGACAGATTATTTCCCAAATGAATGCATCAAAATCTGTTCATTCGGGTGATTTGCTTGGTTTGATGCATATTCACACCTTCAGTATTTGTAAAGCGTTTTGCCAATAAATGCCTGGAAAGAATTAAATACTGTGATTCATCAACAGATGCTTATGTCTAATCCTAATTTGCTCCATAGTCTTGCATTTATAAGACATATTAACAGAAGTATGATATAGAGAAAATATTAACATCGCCTACAATATGGTGTAAATATCTGAAAAAAACACTGGCTCACTTTAATGTCCAGAAAAACTGGTTAGCATTCCCTTTTCTCTTATACCTAATAGTGTTCTACTGAGACACAACATTCATCCTACCTAAAAACTCTCATTTTCCTGGGTTTGTCAGTGCATCTTCTATTTTCTTCATGTAGACAGGATTTATTCTGAGCCATATCTGGCTTTGTTGCCCTAGTCCTTGTAATTTTCACCCCTCTATTCTATATTTGGTTTCCTCCATTTGAAGGCAGGCCAATTTACCTTTCCCAGTCATTTAAGTACAATTTAATGTACATTTACTGCGCATGTACTTACTATGTGCCAAGGCAACGCTAATGCCTGGGGAACAATGAATGCAACAGTCTTCGTTCTCAAAGTTTATAGTGTAGTTGGCCACAGACATTTAACAGATAATTTTCAAGTTATGTGGAAAGAATACTAAGATGGTGGTCTACCCAGGGAATAGCCAGTGACTTAACAAACTCCTGCATTCAAGGCAGTTGTGAAACACACACACACACACACACACACACACACACACACACACGAAGAAAAGAACACTTCATCTTTGGGATTTACAGCCAATTTGAGAAGATACTGAGTTAGCCCATTAGCAAGTATAGAAAGCCCTAAGCAGCAAAACTTAATGAGTTAATCACCCAACTTTTGGTCAGGACTGAGTGTCACAAAGCTCTTAATTTGGGAAAGATTTCCTGCATCTAAATATAATTCCTCCTCCTGTAACTGAAGACTCTTATTAGAAAAAGAAGTGCTGTTTATCATCATTTTCAGAAAATAGTAAGTCCTCATGTAAAGAACGGTGCCCTGGCCTGAACCAATCCTTTCTTTTCTTTTGCTAATAACTTTCTTGTCCCACCCAGTTTGTATCAATAAAAACCTTCCATTTTATACAACTTCATGGATCATCTCTCTGTTTACTAGGTGGGATGCTCTTGATTCAAATAAAGCCAATTAGATCTTTAAATTTACTCAGTTGAATTTCTGTTCTTTAACAGGGACAAAGAATATATATGAGCATTAAGCTAGCTACATCTCTCTATATCCTCTATCATTCGATCATACACACAGATATATGTGCGCTGATGGGGTTAAGTACAGGCCTCCCCAAGACATGCTACTTTGGCATGAAGAGTATTTTTCAAATGTTTTAATTGATTTTAAAAAGAGTAGAAGGGAGAGGGATAGAGAGACAGCAACATCCATGAGAGGAACATCTGCCTCCTTCATGCCTAATGGTGATCAAGCCCTCCACGCGGGCATGTGCCCTGACCAGGAATTGAACTGGGGACCTCTTGGTTCAGTGGTTCTCAACCTTCCTAATGTCGCGACCCTTTAATACAGTTCCTCACGTTGTGGTGACCCCCAACCATAAAATTATTTTTGTTGCTACTTCATAACTGTAATTTTGCTACTACTATGAATCGTAATGTAAACATCTGATATGCAGGATGTATTTTCATTGTTTGCGACCCACAGGTTGAGAACAGCTGTCTTGGTTCATGGGTCAATGCTCAACCACTGAGCAACACTGGCCGGGTGGCATGTATATCATTTTGAGCTGAAGGCAAAAGAGACTCTGTAGGCTCAAGAGAAATTTTTACCTTTCCCTTAAAGAATTTAAAGTGGACCCTTGCCCATGTAAGAGTGACTACCTATTTATATGGCAGGGTAAACCGAATTACTGAACATCTGCTCTTCTTGTCATCCTGTGAATTACCCTCCTCTCATCTGAAACCCCAGGCATCTTACCTCATTCCTTAGCTCATAATGGCATGTGTACCTCATTTCACCTTTCTGTCTTGAACCTCTCATGCATGTAGGATCTCTGATTCTCATGTCTGTGGGGCTCCCATACACATATGTAAAATTAAATTTGGTTATTTTCTCTTGTTAATCTGTCTCATGTAGCTTTAATTATTAGGCCAGTTGAAAGAACCTACAGGAATAGAGGAAAATTTCTTCCTCCCCAACAGTGCATACTATTTCATGCTATGTATTTTTTCAGTTTGGCATTATTTTTACATTTGCATAGTCATGTTTGCAATTTGGTATTCAATTATGCTCATATACCCTAGTGTTTATTTAGCCATCTCCCCCATTGACTTTTTAAAATAGCTTTTTCACTATATAAATGCTAAGGTGGATATTTAAATATTAACTACTTTTTCTTTCACAGAATTTCCTTAAATGAAATTACTGGATCAATGCATATGTGTAATTTTTGAGTTCTTAATACATATAGATAAATTGCTCCAAGAAACAAAGTGGACTAAGAGGAAGCAATATATATTCAAAGGGAGGAATGACAATGTGTAGTGTATCCTATGACCAATTAATTCAGTGCTGCTGCAGAATAAAGGGGGGAAGGGAAAAGCCAGGTGAGAAAATAAAGCTGGATATGCCTGAATCAGATCAAGAAGGGCCTGTACACCATGAGGAGTTTGGACTTTACCTTGGATAATGGGAAATGAAAGAAGTGTGTGAAGGGGAAAGGAGACATTGTCATTATCTGTCTTTTTGAAAATGGAAGTAGAATTAGGAAGGATGGTTAGGAGACGAGCAAGCGAGACCAGGAGAGAGATGCTGAGTGCCTGAGCCAGGATAGTGTGGGTAGACAAGAGGGGACTCACATAGAAGAGAGAGCCACAAGGTAGATTTTGGGTGACTGACTGGTTCTCTGTGGTGTGGCTGAGAAGGTGGAGTGGAGTGGGGAAGGTGAGAAATTTATCACTTGGGATCTTTTTTTTAAAGACACTTATACTAAAACTGCCTGCTTACTTGTCAACTTCCTCCATCAGAATGGAAGTTATATGAAGGCAGGGCCCCATCTTATTCATCACTTTACCTCCTATGCCTGTCATAGTACTCAGTATACTGTACTTACTAGGTACATTGCTAAATAAAATAAATGGGCAGATAATGCCATTTGCTAAGAGAGAAAATAAAGGGAAAAAAACAGGTTTGGATTTTAAAGTGAATATAATTTTTAGTCATTTCAAATTCTCACACAATACATAGCAAATAATCTCATGATAAACAATTACTGAATAAAGAAATTAAGTAAATGCATGAAAGTTATTTTCTATCTATCTATATCTATCTATTTATATACCTACCTACCTACCTACCTACCTATTTATCAATCTATGTATCAAGTCTGGAGATTATGAGATTATGATGTATTTGAATTTAAAAGGTTGAATTTGAGCTGTTGGCAAAATATTAACCAAAGATACGGTCTCTGGTGGTAGGCCTGGCCAAGTTGATAGGCATTCATAAAGTAGAAATGTATTTTCATATGTCAAAGTTTATTAACATATATAATGTTCTAATTTTTAAACTTTGAACTATGCTATTTCAACACTGTGTCAGTATCTTAAAATGTACCTTCAAAATTATACATAGAAACACTAACAGATTCAACTTTAATCCAATGTATAACCATTTCCATAATCTATGTTTTGCTCCTTGGCAAAGACACTCATTCTCTTAGCAATGCTCAATTTTTACTTTGACTAAAGATTTAAAAATATAATCCGACATTTTATATGTATTTTTCTATGAAAAAATTATAACATATATTTCGGAGGCCTCTGGGACATTGTTAACAAAGGCTAAGTTGATATTACCAAGAAAATCATACTGAGGAAAATACTGTGAATATAAATATATTTGCACATTTTCCTTATTTCTTATGACGCTTATAGCCTCATAAAAACCATTAGTGTCCTTTTGTATTATCCTTCAAGCATCCCTGCTGCACAAAAGACCGACCTGCATATGGATGCAAATGTATCAGAACTCCTGTGAGAATTCTTGGCCAGCAGGAATGCACAGAGGGAGTATGTGTGTAGTGGGGGAGGTTGGGCGAGGGGGGGTGATATGTAGCAGCTGTCCCTGTCACAGGGTGATGTGATCATAAGTTCCTGGGAAGGGAATTAGAAGAAGATGCAAATCCTTCCACTCCCAAATTCTGGCCTCAATTCAGGCAAATAATTTGTTTCTGGAGGATTAATCCCCTCTCCTCCCCTCTACCATAAACTATCTAATCTTTCTACATACAGATGCCACCAATATCTTTGTAGGTCAATTATTTCTACTGAGGACATTATTTACATGGCAAAGATAACTTAAAGAAATTGAGTAAAGAAAACAGAAATATACATAAGAATTTAACTAATTTGTCCCTCTAAAAATGCTGTTGATAAAATAAAAAGCTACCCCCTCATAAACAACTCAGTGAGTTCATACAAATGTTAAATCAAATATATATAACTATATATATACACACACAAGAATTATGATCCTATTAACTCAGGTTTTGGGGGCAAGAACAACAAAAAAGCAGTATTTCGATATGACACATAAGCAATCTCTCTCAAAATAACTGTTTTCTTTCATTTTCTCTACTCTCCAGAATGCTTCTGTAGGAGCTTCATGGGGAGGATAAACCTGGATGTTTAAAATAAATTCTATTGCTTAAGAACAAAAGGGGAAAAATGAAAGGCAAAAATAGCCTGAAGCTGTCTGTCGGGGAAAAAACGGCTAGGCGGGGCCCAGTCTACTTACTCTTGATGTTCTTTTGTCCTATTGTGAATGAAATAGGGCTTCTGTAATACATCTGACAAGTTCAGGAGTCCAAAAGTCATCTCACAGGGTGATTTGATCATAAGTTCCTGGGCAGGACATGGTGAGTAGTCACATCCCTGGCCTATAACTTCTTTACTAAAAGGTTTACCTTTGCCTTAAGCAAACCCTGTCCATTGTTCCTGTGCATCTAGGTTAACACACCTTTGAAATGTCAGAGTATCACCCTCAAGGGAGCACATAATCTTGTTAACTGCCCTGTAATCCAATCATAGAGATTTTCCCCACCTTGCTTTTTTCCTTCCTTCATGTAATCTTCCTGACAGATTCCCTTTTTTTTTCAAATGTATAAAAAGAAGTGCAAATCTGTCATTCATTGAAGCATCTCAGATCTTGCTTCACCCTTTGCTGCCTTCCTTTATTAATATCTAGCTACCTATGCTAACACAGGTTTGGATGCTCTCATGCCAACATTACATATCTTTTTCCACACTCCCCTACTTTCCCACTTCAGTTTTCCCAGGACCTAACACAATTCCAATCCTTTACTTCAGGTTAGTTAACAAGGCACACCCATTTTGAAAAGCGAAAATGGGATGGGAAATCAGTCATTCAGAGCCGACTGTAAGCGAGGCCACACTACCTGCTTTCTCCTTACCCTGGAAGTCATGGGTGTTGGAAAAGTATTTTTTCATCAGTGTGTTTGCTTCATTGTATTCATACTTTACTTGTATATTCTCATTGTAAAAGTCTCACATAATACAGAAATTGACAAAGTAAATCAAGTTTTGATTGGGGCATCATCAAAGGAAGTAATTTTGGATTTAAAAAATCTACCTAGGAACAATACTCCATATTTGAGTGTGCTTATTAAGTGGAGAGCCTGAAGAAGTGTGTGTACCTGTACCCCTGGAAAGAAGGGAGCAGAGTGGAGAAGGCAGAGTTCAAAGGATACCAAAGACAAACTTTCTATAACCAAAACTGTCTAAGGCTAGTTCAGGGAGTGACTCTTCCTTACTCACTCTGCACTCAGCCTTCTTAACTTTGATCCTCTCCCTCAATCCAGAATTAGTAACTTACTAGTGACAGGGTTCAGGACATGCTACCCCAAAATATGGGATACTAAATATTTTAAACTAAAGGAACTTGAGAAATGGCAGGTACAGAAGGGACTCTCTGACACCCCCACCCCCACCCCATTACCCCAAAGCATGTCATAAAACTTTAATATGAGAGGTGCTCTCCCTGTACCTGGAGGAAAGGAGCATCCTTACCTCTGAAGATGGAGGGACACTGAGAAGAATCCAAACAAGCAAGCCTTGTTCAGTTTCCCCCAGTATACTATCCTTAGCTCATATCCTTTCAGTTTCCCCCAGTATACTATCCTTAGCTCATATCCTTTGGTCCTATCACACTTTTCTATGACTTTCTACTCTTCATCAAACCTAGCAAAAAACACTCAGGTTTAACTATTTCTTCAGGTCTTCATTTCCTTATAAAGGTTCCCGTGTCATGTAAAACTTACAGTAAATAATTTCATATGCTTTTCTCTTCTTAATCTGTCTTTGTTACAGAGGTACAGTCAAGAACCTAAATGGGAAGAAGGAAAAGATTTTTCCTCTCCTCACTATTATTATATATTTACATTGTGGGTTAAACAGGCTTTTATGGGTTAATCTAAGATACTATAATTTAAAATGCTCTTTATATAAAAATGATTATATTGAAATGCCAAACATCCAATTTACAAATGAATTTGGAGCATTATGTAAATTGGCACCTGCTTCCTATATAAGACATAAAGTAAAAGGATAAAATATGAATTCTGGATTGGGATACTCAAAGCAGAACGCTTGTCTTTGACCTCTTGGAAATGGATCAATATGAAAGCGAGCCCTTTTTAAAGGTGGAGCTAAAGTATCAGTCTTATTAATTCAAGGCTCTATTAAAGAAAAAATTACCCATGATACTTGTTGAAACAAACTTTATTTGGACTATCATAATAGGTGTAGGGACTACTGCAGTGGGGTTTTGACAGTACAGGAGAGCCGAGGCTCCATTCCAAATACAACAAGGACAAGTGGGGTTTACAGCTGGGATGGGGTTAGAGGATGAGGAGGCGGTCAGTGGATGAAAAAGTACTATGAATGTGAGGTAAATATTTGCTAGACTGACTTAACAGGATTCTTGTTGAAGGCAGGCCAAGGGTGATCAGATTTTGCTTGGGGCGGGGGGGGGGGGGGACGGTAGGGAAGGAAGAATTTGGACACATATTTTGGGTGATCAGATATCGAGGGTCGGGGATTCTTGCTAAAACTAGACTCCACAAGGACAGAGATGAAAAGGCTCAGAGGCCTGAGTAAAGTTTGGTCAGGGGGAGAATCTTTGCCAGCTCTTAATTTCTACTAGGCTAAAGTAAAGCTGGCAACTGTGCTGCTGTCAAAGGTGAGGACATTACAGGTCATGTTGCTTTGGGGGAGAGGGAAGATGAAGGGTTGTGGGCACACTGCTTCTCTCTGAAGTAGGTAAGAGAGAACCTTGTAGCCAAATTAATATGACAAGAAGGAAGAATGTGTGACAAGTTAATTTAGAGTAATTATCTTGGGTTAGGGTTAATTCAGGGAGATAAAACATACTGAGTAAATGTAAAATTATTTGTGGTTTCCTAGTGAACAAAACAATTTTCACAGTACTCTTAAAGGGTCTTACCTAATTAACATCTTTCAAATCTAGGGCAGGTAATAACAGAGCAAGACTTTTCATGGAAAACCTCTGAAACTCTTGTGATGTGCCATGTTTATTACTGTGAAATTTAAGTTAAGGAGTGACTGCAATATCAGAGCAAATGACTATATATTTATATTACCTAATATTGTTTTTTATTTTATTTTTTAAAAGAAGGATTTGGTCACCATTGGCTTCTATACTTTTGTTCCATGTGAGAAAAGGCCAAGTTCAAAGCTAAGCCTTCTCTTGTCTTTCCAGTTCGAGCGTCTCCAGATAGGATGGTTGGGAGAAAATAACTTGCTTAAAATAAATGATCTTATGAGAGGACGAGTCAAATCCTAAGAGGATATATTTGAAACTGGAGGACACATGAGAGAGGGAACAGAAGGAATTTTGCCATGGGAAAGAGGTGCTCAGGCCCCAGAGAAAGGGCTGGGAATTGAGGCAGAGTGCCGCCTTTCTCATCCATCTAGCCCTGTCCTCTGTCTCCTTCTCTCAGTCTCCTCCCCGAGCTCTCCCATCCTCTTAACAGCTCTCTTCCTTCCCTCCTACCCCTCAACTCCAATTCTATAATTTCTCCATCAGTTAATTCTAGGAGTAGACCAGGGCCCAAACTGACTCTCAGACTCTCAGGGAAATACAAATGATTAATAGAACATTTTTTTAAAAAAAATCTAGTTTCAGTAATATTCTGAGAACCGGGTTATAATTAAAACACAGACACTTTGAAAAGGTCTTGAACTGGGGTGCAGGAGAAAAATGTAGTCAGATTGCTTTTCCAATTATCTGCATATGCACATCAGTATGACTCTAAATTAAAATGTGACATAGTCTTCTTAAAGTTTAAATGATTGAGATTTCAAAACAATTGTTACAATCACACATCCTGGTACTTTGATATTTAAAAATAGCACAGAATACTGGAATAACTGAAATTGATATCAGGATCACTTAAGTAAATGACTGATTTCAATGGCTAATGTACATTCTAATGCAACTTAAAAGTTTTCACATCTGAGACAAAAGCTGTCTCATCTGGAATATTACACTTAAGCTGGTGAAGCTTAACTCTAGGTGTACATCAAAAATATCCCCACCCACAGTGATTCTGCGGGGTTGGGCCCAGGCAACTATATATTTTTAAGCTTCTTAGGTGATTCTGACACACACAAACATTAAAAATCAAGGGCCGAGTGTTCTATTTGGTTACCATGGACCAGTTTGTTAACTTCAACTTATTTTCTTTGATTTATAATCTATGTATTATATAAAACTAAAGTTATAAACATACCTTGGGTCAAGAAGACTCCTCAAAAATTTGAAAAGCAAAAGCTGGTTCTGAGTAGAAAAACAATTAAAAATTTAACATTAAAACAAATTCTTCAAACTATGCCATGGTAAAGAATGAATTTAGTATATCTCTTTAAAATGCACACATGCCTATGATTACTTCCATTAAGCCCTCTGTATAGATCTAAGAAATTCTAAAGAATCATTTGGAGATCATTTCCTCTCAGTAATTCTAATCACTGTCCCATACTCCATTTTGAGTGCAAAAGAAACACAAATACCTTGTTATTGTAAAAAAAAAAAAAAAAAAAAAAAAAAATCAACCAAGGAAAGAAAACCAACCAAAAAAAAACAAAGAGAAATCCCTCTTCTGAGACAAACCCCAGTGCAGTTCCCACACGTGGACACTCTAACTGCTCTGCTGGTAGTGAATTCTGACTGTACTGCTGGTGGGTTCACTGTCTCACCTGGTTCTTCTTGTGATGACGGCCCAAATGACAACCACCACCTGAAAAGCTCATGGACTCCCCAATATAATCAACTGCAACAGAGATGGCAAACTGCAACATCTCAGCAAACAGGGCTCTGCTTCTTCCACTTATGAGCTATGTGACTTTGTGTAAGTCACTGGCTCTCTTAACTATTCAGTTTACTTATTTAAAAAAGAACAGCAGTATCTCCTCTGCCTTCTGCACAGGGAAGAGGTAAGAATTAAATGAGATGAACCTTAGGATACTATATGAATATGAATGTTTCTAAGTTCTAAGGAAAGCTGAGCAAAAATTTAGAGTTTAGTTTTTCTTTACCTTTTTGACACATTCAAACTTCACCTATAAAAAGCAGGGGACTCTCAAAACTGAAATGGATTAATGTAATATAGAATATGACATTTTGAGTATGTTTATCTGTCTTTGATTTTTATCTTTTCCCTGGCCCATCACCTTGTTTTATTTTACACAACTTTCCTTCTGGACTTAATATTCTGGCTTACTTATCATTTCAAGAATTCTGAAACAATAGGTCAGAGGCATAATTCTTGTCATCAAAAGTAAAAGTACTTTATAAAACCTGTGTGGGATTCTCCTACATAATCAGTAAAGTTCTACAATAAAAGAAACGTGTTAGACTCCACAGTGTTTATAGGGCGGTATTCTGTGCCAGGCAGCATAGTGGAGGCAGGAGCTGGAGACAGACTTGGCCTCAAGGTCTGGGAGGAGAAATGTGAATAGATCTCAATACTTCAATAACTTTATAACTCATTTCCCTTTCTCTCCAATTTCCAATGTCTTTGATATTCAATATTAAAACCTCTTTTTCTATAATGTAAAATTGATTATATACGGTGTCTGCCGGGACTTTTTCCCCCCCATGGGTTTTAAGCCTCAACAAATGTGTAGAAACTACTATTAAATGGCAACTATTAATTGAACAAATTCCTAAAATCAAAAGGTCTTTGGTACATAGTCAATAATTGTCTCTCCACTAGATGTTTCTTCCCCATATATATATTTGCAATATTTACCTCAAGTTTATTAATGACTGTTTCAATCTGTTCAGAAAAGTGAGTAGCAACTAGCTCTGCAGCTTTACAAGGCTTCAGGGACACAAGTTCCTAGAGTGAAAGAAAAAGACAAAATCCTTTTGCTAAATCTTAATGTTAATTTAAATAGGATTCCCATAGATGTGAAACATGATCACCTGCCTCAATATTTTCATGAGCTTCTTTATTGCATTTCAGGAGACCTTGATGTAAGGCCCTAATTTAAAGGCATATTGTAAATGAGCAAAATTAAAAACATACCATGTAAAAAGTCAGATTGTGATATACAAGGTTATTCAGAATTCTTAGAAAATGAAAGCACTAAACTCTGGACTTAGGCCATGTATTTGCAGGATGAACAGAATGAACAAAAGCTCCCCAAATTCTCTGTCTGTGAATTTCACCCTTGAGCTTAAAGTAATAGCTTGATGAAAAAAAAAAAAAAAAAGGTATAGTTGCAATTTCTCTGGATAAGAATTTTAAAACTGTACTTCTGATTGCCTGGTAGGTTTTGAAACTATAAGTGTCTTAGGAAATCAACTTAAAGTCATAAGTTTTAAATCAGACTAAGAGAGGCATTGTTAAGTAACCACTGTTAATAAAACCTATTTCTGTCAAATCTAAGACCTCCAATTTGCACTCTCCCTAAACTTTCCTAGACACTGGCTATCATTTTCTTCTTAAACTCTCTTTTCACTTGGTTTCTGTGACCTACTATTCTGCCCTTACAATTGCATATCATATGGCTAACTGCAAAGACCAACTTTACATCACATAGTATATTGTCAAATAAAAAGTATACAAGTTAGTGTGACTGTGATATTAGTGATATATCTAATAATTTTGTGGTATTTTTAGATTAATAATGATTAATATTAAAAATAATATTAAAATAACTGTAGTTTATACTAGTTTTATATAACACATCTCAAAATAGAGCACAACTAATCAATATCACACATGAAAAAGGGGATATTACTACTGATTAATAGACATTACATAGATAAAAAACTTTTATGTCAAGAATTTGAAAATTTAGACAAAATGGATAAATTCTAGAAAAATATAGTTCAATAAATTGACTTAAGCAATAGAAAACTTGCACCGAATAATAAAATATCTTTCCATATGGAAAACTCTAGACTCAAATAGATTCACCTATAACTTCTAGTAATCATTTAAGGAAGAAAAATTCCAATATTAATTAATCTCTTACAGAAAACAGAAAAAAGGAAACTTCTTCAGCTCATTGTATGAGGCTAGCAACATTTTGATCACCAAACCCAATAGAACAATATAAGATAGGAAAGAAAAATTATAGATCTTAATCATGAACATTGATACAATATTCTAAGTAAAAACAAAATTCAACAATATACAAAAAGGATAATACATCAGAATCAAGTTGCATTTATCCACAGAACTTAAGGCTAGTTTAATATCAATAATATTTACCACAAAAATTAGTAAGGGAGAAAAGATGATAAAATTTTTTCATGACAAAACTATTAATATACTAGAAATAGAATAGAAGACTTCCATAAAAATCCTTATAATAAACATTGTACATATATGGGAAATTAAAAATATTAGTGGCATGATTATGCTAAAAATATAAATTTTTGACAGTCTAAAAAAGGACTGAAATCTCTACAGAGAAAATTATAAAACTTTATAAAAAAATGTTGAATAAAGGGTCATACCATACAGTCATAGATTGAAAGATACAATGTCATTAAGATGTCAATTACATTTAAAGTGATTAATAGATTCATTGCAATCACAGTTAGAATCATAAGATTAAAAAAATTTCGGTGGAATTTGACAAGCTGATTCCAAAATGTATTTAGAAGTACAAAAGGTCAAGAATAACCAATACTCTTTTAAAGATATCAAGACTTATTATAAAGCAACAATATTTCAAACTAGAGGCCTGGTGCACGAAATTTATGCACTCAGGGAGGGGGGTCCCTCAGCCCGGCCTGCACCCTCTCACAGTCCAGCAGCCCTCGGGGGATGCTTGACTGATGGCTTAGGCAGCAGTCAGACATTCTTAGTGCTGCCACAGAGGCAGGAGAGGCTCCCGCCATCACCGCTGCACTCGCCAGCCTTGAGCCCAGCTTCTGGCTGAGCGGCACCCCCCACCCTGTGGGAGCACACTGACCACCAGGGGGCAGCTCCTGCAGTGAGCATCTGCCCCCTAGTGGTCAGTGAGCATCTTAATGACTGGCCATTCTGCTGTTCGATTTTCATATTAGCCTTTTATTATATAGGATACTTGTGAGGTCCTGATGTAGAGTCAGAAAATAGATCAATGAAACAGAAGAGGGCCCAGAAAAACAGACCAAGCATATAGATCCTTGATATGCTTATGACAAAGTAGCACTACTGAGCAATAGGGAAAGGCAACCTTTAAAATAACTGCTGGGAAAATTGGGCACCCATATTTTAAAAAAATTAATTGGACCCCCACCTCACAGCATATACAAAAACTGCTTTCAGGTGAACCTAAGATTTAAAGATGGAAGGAAAAACAGATAAAAAAGCTTTTAGACAAAAATATGAAGAATTTCTCATTCAGTATAGAAGAAAAAAATTAATTATTTTGATTTAAAAAAAAAAAGAACTTCTCTTTAAAAGAATCATAGGAAAAAGCCAAAGAGTGGGAGGATATATTCACAACATGTGTCAGTGAAAAACGCTACCATGCAGGATACATAAAGAACACCTACAAATCAATAAGTACAGGAGATATTCAAATAGAAAATTGGGCAAGATTTGAACAGGCGTATTACAGAAAGGATATTTAAATGGCCAATAAACATGAAAAGTCTATCAATCTTAGTAACTAAGAATATGTAAGTTTAAAACATAGTAAAATATCATTACGCATCCACTAGAATTGTAAAATGTTGAAGTCTAGCAAGGATGTAGAATCAATGGGAAACTTCATTCAATGCCAGCAGCTGGTAAAGATATTTATCCCTATTAACTGGCAATTATGGACCCTACAGCAGAGGTTATCAGATGTTAGCATGTCTCAAAAGTACGTGGAGGGCTTATTAAAACATATTGTGGGGTCCCACTCCCAGAGCTTCTGATCCAGAAGGTCTGAGGTAAAGACAAAAACTGCATTTCTATTAAGTTTTCAGCTGATGCTATATTGCTGACTAGGGATCAAACTAACAACCACTGCACTAGAGAAATGCATGTGGTTGTGCTCAGATGCATATATAATGATGACTATAAATGGACTAAAACATCCACTAACAGTAGAATGGACAAACTATGATATACTTGTAAAATAAAATACTATATAACAATACAAATTAACCACAGCTTCAGATAACAAAACATACAAACTTCTCAAAATATTGAGAGGAAAAAAAAAAGGAAATATAGTATATAACTTCATTTACATAAAGTTCAGAAAAAGGCAAAGCAAAAATATAAACTTTTAGGGATGTAGGCATATGCAGTAACAGTATATATAGAAAGGCAAGGAAATATCAGGAAAAAACACAGGCTAATGGGTGTACTATGGGAGTCAGGGCTTGTGACCAGGAAAGGATATACAGGAAGTCTACACAAGAAGTCTGGGGTAGGTACTGCATATAAGTCTATTTCTTGATCTAGACCTCAGATATTTTGCTTTTTAATTTTTTATTAATCTGTACATTTGCTTTATGCAGTTTTCTGTATGCTTTTTATATCTAAAACTAAAAATAAATATTTTTTTAAATATAATAAAATATACTTTATTCATATTGTAAAAATAAAGATTTTTTACCCGTAATCCACAGACCCGATCTAAAAATGGCTTTTGGGTGTCTGCATATCCCTGAAATTATAAACAAATTTACACATTGTGCACATGCACAAGTCCAAATATTTCACTAGATTCTCAAAAGAGATTTATAACCCCAGAAGTGTTAAAAACCACTAATTTATTCACTGTATATACTGCCAGAAAACTTTATTATGAGGACTTTTACACCTACATATTTAATGTTGATTTTATTTATATTACTGAAGCCAAGGAAGCCCTTCAACAAACAGTCTATGTATTTGTAATTGTGGTCTTAAGAGATATTAAAAAGTTCAAGGTGAAAAAAATGTGCAGATGTTGGAAAAAGTCAGCAGAAATAATTGTTGTGCAGCAACAATACTTCTTGCTTCTCCAGTTTGAGTTTTCTGCTGAGTAATTTGTTTGCTCATTGATTAATGCATCACATTTCACATTATGCAGAGAAACATAGCTTCATTTTTGGAAGTCTGGAGTCCATGTGCTCAAACCACTGCTTAATGCAGATTAAGTGAAATAAAGAATGAGCCATAATGTAAATACAGAGACTTAAAGGGGATGATGAAAGGAAAAAGAATACAAAATGATTAAAGGAAAAAGATATAACTCAAAGTAGGAGAAGGTTTTCTTGAGTTCTTTCATCAAGATATATCCATCTTGTTGTTAGCAGGAATATCGTAACATAAAATAACATATATATGTTCTCAATCCTATAGATGAAAGTGTGGAAATTACTTCAGACCACACATCTGATGACTGACTGTATCTCTTTCTCACCAGATGTTTCACATAAGATGTGTTCACATTTCTGATCTTTCTAAACTTTACAACCATCAGGATGGGAACAAAGTACTCATATCACATGCAATGTTTTCTCGGAGTTTCAGATCTCATCTTTTCTTATCATTTTTCACATGTATAAAACATTTAAATTATGTTGAATAACCATATCTTTCATTCCATCTCTAAACCTATCACCAGAAGTTACCCCATCACCTGTTCCTTGCTACAAGGAGGAGTAAAGACACTTTGTAAATAGAAATTTATTTTCAAAACTAGGATTATCTCAGCATCTTTTGTTACTACTTTTTTTCAACAATTAGTGACTCAAAAAAAATACATTTCAACAAACCTGCTAGCTTTGTTGGTTTCTGAGGTATATGGTATGTTATGAACCTATGGACACTAAAGTGAGGAGTGATTTGTGAGCCCTTTTCCAGAATACATTCTGATCACATGTTCATCATGCATTATTGGTCTCTCCATTTTGGCATCTATAGGCATGTGTTTTAAAAATAACTTTTTGTTTCAATGTCAACTCCTGCATTATTGTAAAAAAAAGCATGCATTAACAAAATCAGAATTATTCTGTTACATAAGGAAGGGAAATATATCAGAGAGAAAAACTCATTATAGAAATGTTTCTAAAATTCCAATGGGTGATTGAGTGCAATGTCTCCCATTATGTATTAGAGAATAAGACCAGGAATACTCTCAGAATTGTATTAAGAATGTTGTAAAAACCCACTAATACTCCAGTTTGCCAACCAGCTGATTGAACATAGGTTATTTTCAGAAGCCATGATATAATAAACTAGAGGCCCGGTGCACGAATCTGTGCATGGGTGGGGTCCCTCGGCTTGGCCGGCGATCTGGCTGATCAGGGCCATCTCGCCGGGGGGAGGGACTGCAGGAGGTTGGCCAGCTGTGGAAGACTGGCTGTGGGAACACACTGGCCACCAGGGGGCAGCTCCTGCATTGAGCGTCTGCCCTATGGTGGTCGGTGTGCATCACAGCAACCGGTCAACCGGTTGTTTGGTTGCTTAGGCTTTTATATATATAGATTGTATATGACAGCCTTTATAAATACAAATATGAGGTGGAATAAATTATATGAAAAACATGCAAATCTGCAAGTAAATCAACTTAATAACGTGACACCTGCCATTGCTTGGTTAGCATAAGCTTAATTTGGGAGATATCCATACAAATGGGAAAATTTCAAAAGTTTATTGAATTAGCACCTCAATGTGATCCATTGCTTTCTGCCATACAGACTGCTTCTCCTCTGCACTGTGGCCAGGAATGGATAAAATATTGTGAATGTAGTTAAAGACTTCTTCCTAAGGAGCACAAGACAATACAATTCATTTATTCATTCATCACTCCAAGAATATTTACTCACTATATCTATACCAGTCTTGCTAAATATCTATTATTTGGAGATAGTTAACTGATGGAAAACTGACACTGACGATAAAGAGCAATTGTTTCAAGTTTAGTTTAGTGTAGAGTCTTAAAAGTTGCAAATCTGTTTCAATTAATTTTGTTCTCAATTTCATTAACCTAATGAGGGAATATTATACTTTTGTCTTTGGTCGTCCCTGTCCACATTCCCAATTTCATCTCAAATCACTCTTGCCCTTGTCTATTAGGCTCCATTTACATTGATCTTTTCTTCATTTATATGATCTCTATTCAGTTCCTTGAACATGTCAAAAATTTTCCCCACCTCAGGGTCTTTACATATATGGTTCCTATCCTAGAACACTTTTCTGTTGGCTCTTTGCTTAACTGGCTTCTTCTCAAATTCCAAAGTCAGTTTATATGTTGCTTCCTCTGAGATTCCTTCCGTCGTATATACGTCAGTTCCCCATCATCTAAAGTCAGTCTCCATCACTAAACTGTAAGTTTTAAAATTGCAAGAATTATATCTTTTTAATTATCAATGTATACTTGCCTAATATCAGGCACTCAATAAAAACCTATTGAATAAATGAAAACCTGAATCAGCAAACACATGTCCAAATATTTCTACTGAATGGTTTATACATACTGAATAGCTATTTCTGCTCATTGGTGAATTGTGTGGAAATGGTATGGAAAAGGGTAAGCAATCTCTTAACTCACCTCTCTTAGTGGGTCACGTAAGTAGCAATCAATAATTTTGTCATATTGGTGTTCTCGTTCATACATAAACTCACAAATTTGATAACTAGAACATAAAAGGAAAAAGTTCAGTGTACCAAACAGGCAGGTGGTTATTATTGCTTCAAAAAGTTTTCTCAGCACAGAAATTAGTATAGAAAAATAAATACAGTAAGTGCTATTTCTACTGCTAAATGAAGTGATAGTACATAAGGCAGGGGTGGGGAACATCCGGCCTCCCAGGCCTTATAAGGCCCGAGAAATCATTAGGAGTGTCTTTGACCAAATACAGCAGCTACTTTTTAAGTTGATAATTTTGTATGGACCATGGATGATGTTATAAAAATCCAAATGGCCCTTGCAGACAAAATGTTCCCCACCCCGATATAAGAAAATTATTATCTGCCATTCTTCTAAATATAGGTTTAATATACTGCTGAACACCATGTTTACGATAAATTTTAAAAGTGGGTACAAAATAAATGTTAAAATAACAAGTGCCACAAAAATAAGTTAATATATTAGATATCAATTAATTGTACAAAGTTTCTCTGTACAGAATTAAATATGTCAAATAAAAATATTAAAAACTGAATAAAGAGGTATAATATATTGCATCTTATTTGCTACATTAAATTCTGCAATATTTATAATATATATAAATAGCTGTCAAAATCTATAAAATACTATGCATATTGTAAGTAAAAAATAACTAAATAACTAAAGTAATAAATCATGACTGTTATTTCATTTTTATCCTAAAACAACTGTACAGATACTTCTAATTTACTCCCTGCTAATTTCTTCAAATTTTACTAAATTTCAGATTTAAAAGGCACAAACTTTCATGCTTAGGTTTTTTTGTTATTTGCATAATTTTTCTTAATTTAAAAATAAATGGCAATGCACGGATAACCCAGGCTTCAAGTTACAGAAATGTAATTTAATAGTTGTATCAACTAAATATGACTTCAAAACAACTTACAACTCTGCTTTTTCTGCCATGTGGATGAGCCGACTCTCTTCAAATTGAACTATGCCTCCAGCCTGCAGCAATTCTAAAAGGACCTGAACATTTAAAATGAATGAACAAAAAACTTTGGGAACTCCTTTTATTTACTAGCTTTTTAAGAGTCCATTCAGCCACACACCATAATGTTTCTTTTGCCTTATTACTTACTGATGTTTTGGCTTGGCTTTCACATATATAACAGGTTAGACTTACATTATAATGTTGATCATATTGTATTTAAGTCTCATAAAATATTAATGGCTCTATTTTTCAAGCATGAAAGGAATGCCACAGTGTTTGCAAATAAAACCTTTTTAGAATACCCAATGATCCCCCACTTAGCTAAAAGCATCCATATACATTCTTTCTTGTATGCATGCATATGAGCATAGCCAATGGACACAGACACTAAGGGGGTGAGGGCATGTGCTGGGGGGTGGGAGTGGCTGGGGAGAGGTCAATGGGGGGAAAAGGGGACATACGTAATACTTTAAACAATAAAGAATATTTTTAAAAAGTGAATTTTTATCTAGAGCTTTTATATCCTATAGCTCTTAAAGTTCTTTATGTCTTGTGGTCCACAGGTAGTATTCATGTTTACATGTTATTTTTTCTAATGAAACGGTATTTTTCACAGTAGCATTATTCACAAGAGCAAAAAGGTGGAAACAATCCAAATGCCCATAAGTGGATGAATGTATTAAAAAAATGTGGTATATACATATAAAGGAACATTATTTAGCCTAAAAAATAAATGAATTTCTGACACATGCTACAATCTAGATGAACCTTAAAAATATTAAGTGGCCCTGCCAGCATGGCTCAGTGGTTGAGCATCGACCTATGAACAGAAGGTCACAGGTACAATAGAATCATTACTTAGTCATTAGGGCAATGTGAGAAAGCTCTCTCATGTATTGAAGGTCAAGATCCAGAGTAACATGATCCTTCTCAGAACTCCAGGAAACCATTTAACAAAGCATTTTTCTAACTTAGGAAGTTGATTACTTTCAAGTTAAAAAAAGGGATGAGGGGGTATAAAATAAATAAAACCTATCCAAACTTTACATTTCAGAACCCTAATTTAATCCACTCTGAGTGTTTTAATGTACTGCTACATAGAAGAACTATGGAGTCAACGCCATCTGCTGGAAGCCTCAATGTGGAATAACATCATAGTGCTACGCTGGAGCCAGTCTTACCAACCCACTAAAATTGAGTGTTACATTTTCAGGAATTTTGTAAGTCAGTTGTGAAACACAGCCATTGTTAAAAATTAAACTACGTAACTTTACAGTCAAATAAATTAAAGTAAAAACAAAGGTAATTAATACTAAAAACTCATCACTTTTAATTATTTCATTACATTTTACTATGTATGCTCTTGAGGTTAGTTACTGTAACTGGATCTGTACGGGGAAATATTACATAAGGGTGTTGTACTTAGCATCTCTTTCTAACTCTCGCCTGAGTGACATCATGCTGGTAAGCTGAAATGGTGGGAGTGCTGACACCATGGAAACTGGCAAATTCTGTAAATCAGGGCTTTTTACATTTTTAAGGAGTTGTAAAACAAAGAATATGTGGCATATACCATATGTGGCACACAAGCCTAAAATAGCTACTCTTTGGCTCTTTCCAGGAAAACTGCCAATCCTTGGTTACAAAAGTGATAGAGATAATGTAATAAGGCAATCAGACTTTAAAGTGTGAATGTCGTCATTACAATGTGAATATCAAAAAATTAAGGAATTCTTTTTTTCATTTCAAAAACTTATCTGATTTAGCAAAGAAGTCACTTCACTGATGAATGGGTGAAGTTCTGACATGCTTTCCTTGTTGCACTTTCACCCTTATTCATTCATGTAAATGAAAATATCAACCAACATTCATATCAGACCTACATTTGAAGGGCAAGTTGTTAAACCTTTATCAGCATTCCACTGGAAAATACTAACAAATACTCCGTAAACAAATGTTGATATATAACAAACTGTGCAGGGGAAAGAGTCTGCGAAGGGAAGGAACTGGGTTCTAATCTCAGTTGTGACCTTGAGCAACTTACTTTATCCATTTCCTATATTTCTAAAACGAGTAGAAAAGGAAACTAGTTAATCTCAAAGGGGACTCCCAATAATAGAATATTACTATAGGATGATTACTTTTCAAGGTTTGGCTTTTACATTTAGATGAGATTTTTATTTCTATTTAATTTAGTTATTTATATAAAAAGTTTTTTTTATCATTTTATATAGCAAAATAACATGCATAACATGATCTATTTTTCCTACCAATAGAGAAATAGGGGCAAGATGAGGGGCCACATTACTATTTGTATTCGATATAATTTAAGAGATAACCAAAATTTTAGCAGTCACTGGGCCACAGCTGTGCAGAGAAAGGGGTCACTGTTGCTACCACATGTTCTTTATCTGGGTCTCAACCTCCCAGCTGTGCACTATTACCATAAAAAATCAGCATAGCTATCAAAATTCTTAATTTTTATAGCTTAGCTCACAAAAGTCTGGCAACCAATTTTAAGTAGGTTGACTCTCTTAGTGCTCACAATTATGATGGGTAAACTTTTAAAGAATCCTATTCTTAGAAGGGACCAAAAAAAGGGGGGGGGGCATAAGTAGAAAGAAGTGGTGCTCAAACAGTTACCATGTCACAGCAATTAGTAGGGAGGGGGACAGATGGATAAGGTCTCCAGGAATGGTTAGCCCTAATGCAGTGGGGCTAGAGGGCACTCCCAAAAGCTGAGTGTCCCACACTCAGTAACCTGCAGTCTTTCCATAGCAGTAAGGAGTGGTTATCAGATTAATGACACTAGCGGAAAGCAGGATACAACAGGTGCCAACTGTCGCTGCAATGCATTTATTGTGCACTTCATAGTTAAATGGGAATGCTATTTAACTGAGATTAGGGTCACCTTTCAGATTGTTAAAAAAAAAAAACAAGAAAAAAGAAAAAAGAAAAAAAAAAAACCAACAAGAGCTAAATTAGATCCAAGGAGAAGGATGAAGTCTTCTCCTTGATGTCATGTTGAATGAAGACAGGTCCGGTGCCTAGAAACTTAGTGTGATATAAGCTCCATATATATGCACTTCTAACAACAGTCCACACTGTTTTCTGGTTGCCACTATCTGGCTTAGTGTTAGGTTTTGGCACAAGTCGCTTCCCCCTTAAGCCTTGTGAAGTCTAGCACAGAAGGGTTCTTTTGGGCTTACTCTGTTTGCTTTCCCACTCTTTTTTTTAAATATATTTTTATTGATTTCAGAGATGAAGGAAGAGGAAGAGAGGGAGAGAGGGGGGAGAGAAACAAAGAGAGAGAGAGAGAGAGAAACATCAATGATGACAGAGATTCATTGACCGACTGCCTCATGCATGCCCCACACTGGGGATTGAGCCCGCAACCCCGGGCATGTGCCCTGACAGGGAATGGAACTGTGACCTCCTGGTTCATAGATCAACGCTCAACCACTAAGCCAGCCAAGCATCTTTTCTACTCTTTAGCAAAAAGAGTTCTAGTAGTTCATACCTGCTGTCTTTCAGAGTGCCGGGAGTCATCATCAGGACTACAGAGGAATTCAAGGACCTGGTCAAAGAAAATGCATGCATGCTATCACACTATCAATGAAAACAGCACCTACCCTTTACATCTCACCAATTCATTCACACTTCACCATAAAAAATATAGCACAGGTATATGGTATCTTCCCAACTGACTGGCCTAGTACATGGCACAGGAGGTTCAGGTATGCTGTTTAGAAACATGACTAGAAGGCAGCATCATCTATATACCTTAACTTTAAGATCCCTGATACCATGGACCAAGCAAAGCATGAACTTTGGAGTCAGGCCACTTAAATTTGAATTCTAAACTTAACACTTAATAAGAACATCTATTGTTAATAATAACACTTATTAAGTACGATATTGGATGAGTACCTCAACCTATCCAGGCTTTAGTTTGCTCATCTGCAAAATGGGGTAACAACTATATCAAATACAGAACTATTAGGAGCACTGAATTAATAAACACATATAAAACTGGAACAGAGCCTGGCACTATGAAGTACTCAATGAATCTAGTCATTATTAGCTGCAGATAAGTATTTTCACTGTCATGTGTGGACACGGGGATGCTATTTAATTGAGATTAGGAAATACCTTTCAGAATCAAAGTCATTTGTAAGTACATTCAGATTTTCTAAAAGTAATCTCTCCTCCAGATGATCAACATAATAGTCTTACTACCAGTGAGATGGGTGATTCTTAAATTGGAAAATTTTTCAGCAAAGAAATTTGGAGCAATAGAATAATTGAGAGAACAAAATCTCTATAAACTAATCTCCACAAATCATACCCTCATGATACCACCTTACTAGGCAGTCATACTACCCAGACACATCATTTAACAAAACCAACGATAGCTAAATTAGATCCAATCTGAAACCAGAACAGGCTTGGCTATTACATTTAGAGACCATGTAATCCAGTGAACTTTTCTATGAACAGTAATAGGATAAAAACAATTCTAGCTCTCATTGTTGAAGACACTCACCTGATCAAAGAGGGTTCTGTTTACAAACAAGGTATTGTCAGGTTTTGCAAGCTGCCGGGCAAGGAATGTAAAGAGACACCCGACTTGTGAGGGAGTAAAATCTGAGTTCTCCACCATAACCTGATGAGCAAAAGAGGCCATTTATTCAATATACCATCTGGTTTGACACAAAAAATATACAATGAGAAGGGGTGGGGGAGTCTCATTACTGAAGACTCATGAAAAGATTATTTTGCAACAATTGAGTTTAATACCAATTAGAGAAGGAGCACAACTGCTTGCATACTCTGAAAGGGGATCATTTCGGTGATTTTGGCATATTTCTAGGCACAGCTTGGATCAGAAGTGAATTGTTAGGTAACTTGCAGAGAGATATTAATCATGTTTCCCTCTTGAAGTCTTAAAAGAGAATCCTACTAAAATTAATTTCAGTTAAATTAAAGTAACCCTATCAAAAATCTGCCCACCAGCACAGGAAGAAAGGAGTTGCTTTGGGGCTTAAAATATAATTTCAGAGTGCAGGTATCCCAGAAAAAAGTCAGCCAGCCCACGAATCAATGAAGTGAATAGATTCTCCTTGTCTATAAGCAGTTTCTTGAACAGATGGTTTTGCATAGTGGGCTTTTTACAACCACACATGGTTATTAAATCATACTCATTCCTCTGCTTTAAGTGAGCTTTCCTCTCCCGACTACCTACTATGTGTAAGATGCTATGGTAGATGCCTTCAAGGGAATTATAAATGAGAAAGCAAGGTGAGACAGGTAAACAAATTTGAAATAAAAGGCGCAGTGCTATCTGCACTATTATAAAGGAACAAATTACTCCCGCAGCACAGTGGGGGAAATTATTTCAAGTGGTTAGACAGGGAATTTAAAATAAATTAGAAGAGTAGCTTTTAAACTAAGCTTTAAAGCCCATGTGGAACCTGTGACGGGAAATGCCAGGAGCGAGTGCAACCCAGTCAGAGAGAGCAATGTGAGCGAAAGCAGGAACACAGTAAAATGTGAGGTTGTTTGAGAAACTGTGTTCATTAGAATGCAGCAGCATGCATGAGGAGCAAGGAGAAGTTACATAGAAAGAAAAGATTAGGCCTCAAATGTCATTCTAAAAAATCTAGAATTTATTCCATAGAAAACTGGGAGCTACAAAAGGTGCTCAACCAGGAGAGTTGATCATGATCAGTACTGCACTTAGGAAAATTATCCTATCAGCAGGGTATCAGATAAAATAACGAAGGAATAAATTGAAGGTAGACCAAATGCACATAACTGCAGGGGCCCGGGGAAAGCAAAGGGGTCCTGAACTAGGGCAGTTATAACGAAAAGGGAAGGAGGAAGAAGTGCAAAAGACACTGCAGAGAGAGAGAGGAGACAGGTCGAGTACATATATGCATGGAAAGGTGTGTAGCTAAGGAGAAATAAAAACCTGTGAGATCTTGAGCCTGACAGGCATGTAGGATAATGAAGCTCTTAACAAAGAGACAGAATGCAGAAGTTTGGGAAAGAAGATCATGCACTGCTTTGGGCTAGCTGAGTTTATGGAGGCAACTCTATAACAGATTGAAGAATACCCTCTCTTATCTGTCGAAGAGTCCTAAATTCCCTCCTTCCATTCTCCATTCAAAAATAAACCATAAGATTTTTTCCAATTAGAAAATATTCCCTTGGAGCCTGGCTTTTGGCCTACCTTTTCTTACTTTGCTGGCAGTATATCTCTTTCTTATACGCTTCCTGCTTTTGTCCAGCAATCACAGCCTGCCCAAGTATATAATTAGTCATTCCTAGAGTATATTTCAAGTTTTAGTCTGTGTATGTATCCAAATTCCGATTTAAACTTTCAAAGAGCTTCCTAGGGCTTTAAAACGCTAAGTCATCATTCCGCTTCAGTGCACAGATCCTTTCTGAGGATTCAACTGTCAGGACCCATCTAACGCTCTTCTGCTTTTAACCCTTCCTTTTGTTCTATTAAGTGTAAACTCCTTAACTTATTTCATTCATATGTGGGATAAATAACTGAAAGCAAGAATGAACAAACAAGAAAAACAAACAAACAAATATTCATAGACACAGACAACAGTATGTGGTGACCAGAGGGAAGCCACTACGGGAAACAGTATGGAGAGTCTTCAAAAAATTAAAAATGAGACTACAATATAATCCAGCAATTCAATCTCTGGGTATTTATCTGAAGAAAACAAAACCACCAATTTGAAGATATATGCACCACATGTTCATTGCAGCATAATTTACTATAGCCAAGATATGGAAGCAACCTTATGTGCCCATCTATAGATAAACAGATAGAGAAGATGTGATGTATATACATACAATGGAATATTATTCAGCTATAAGTAATGAAATCTTACCATTTGCAACAACACAGATGGACCCAGAGCATATTATGCCAAGTGAAATAGGTCAGACAGAGAAAGACAAATACTGCCTGATTTCACTTATATGTGGAATCGATTAAACAAAACAAATGAAAAACACAGAAACAAAGTCATAGATACAGAGAACAAACTGGTGGTTGCCAAAGAGAAGAGATTTGGGGAATGGAGGGAACAGGCAAAATAGGTAAAGGGGATTAGGAGGTACACATTTTTAGTTATAAAGTAAATAAGTCAGGAGGATATAATATACAGCATAGGGAATATAGTCAATAATACTGTAATTTTGTGACAGATAGTAACTAGATTATTGTGGTGATCATTCTGTAATGTAAAAAATATTGAATCACTATGTTGTACACCTGCAACTAAAACAACATTGTATGTCAACTATAATTAAATTAAAATAAGTTACAAAAACAAATCCTCAGAGTCTACCTACAAGAAGCTCAAATCCAGGTAGAAAAATATACATGTAAATAATTACCATACAGTGTTCCAAGTACAGCATAAAATGTTCTATGAACACAGAGAAGGGGCAACTAATCAAGCTGGAGGTGTGGGAGAGCATTCTAAGAGTTTCTCATGGATGATATACGAGTTACACATTGGAAAATTGTTAGGAATTTGCCAGGCAGAGAGAAAAGGAAGAAAAAGGCAAGATGGGATAATAGAAAACTCATGCAAAGAACATAAGCCATAAAGATGACACATAAAGTTCAGTGAATTCCAATAATTTAATATGGTTGAGAAGTTCATAATACAGTGGGGGAGGGCAGTAGGAGAGGGAAGAGTTATAGTGTAGTAGGCAGGGACCAAAAAACAAAGAAGGATCTTGGATGTAATATTAAACAGTTTAGATAGGTATGGCAGAAACTAGTACTTGTGCTCCAACATCTGTTCTCTCCTTCTGAGAAACAGAACTCCTTACTTTTAGCTAAACACAGTCACCCACAATACAGTGTACAGAGTCATATATCTAAGTTCTGATCAATATGATATAAGCAGAAATGTAGTACTACACAACTTCTGAGAAATTTCTTAAAGAGAGGGAACACTATCTTCTTCATCCCATTCTGCATTCAGGCTAACTAGAATGCAGAGATGATGGCTGGAGCTTGAGAAGTCATTTTGGACCAAAAGCTAGAAACCACATACTAAAAATAACAGCAGTAAGAAAGAGGCAATCTTCATCCCTGATAAGTTTATAAAGCTAATCTAATAGATCAGGTTGTCTACCTCTAGACTTATATAAAAAAAAAATTCCCTTCAAAATTAAACTGTTATTTGAATTTTCTCTCATAGCAGAACTTAATTACAACTGATCCAATATAGTCATAGAAGAATATTAGGTAGAGGAAAGGCAAGATCACAAACCAGAGGAAGACAAAACTCGTTATAGAGACCATTTAGGGAAGTATTTTGGAAATCCAGGTAAAGCTTCTCCATACTAGCCACCTAGACCAAAGTTTGGGAATTTAGCAATCTTAATTTCATATTCATCACTGCCTATCTTATAAGATCAATAAACAGCTCAAGTGACATAACATATATAAGTGTGCTTTGGAAATTATAAAGGACTATTACAAATGTAATGCATTAATGCTATGACAACTAGAGAATATTTCCATATTGTTTTCTTGTGCAAAATAATCTACAAGTCACTATGAGGAATAAAGTTTCATTTCATGGCCAAATGAACAGGACACAAATTCTAGGCTTTCAACTACACGAAGAAACTGGCCTGATTAAAGCTGTACAGATTCATTAATTAGCAACAGCATTGATCTCAAAATGGCTTTGGACTTAATCTAGTTAGATTTAGACAGGGTGACCATCTCTGTGTGACTCAAATAATGCATTCTTAAGTGTTACCTATCATCCCAGTACCATGGTAAAACTATGGCACTATCTTAGCAACACAGTGAAGTCGGTATGAAACAAAGGGAGATTCATCACATTATTTACTTTTTCAAAGTACTCTGAAGTCAGTCTCTAGTATTGCATACAATCATAGTAACATAGCAATTATCACAATATGCATTTTTCTAGAGTAGTACCTGGTATCCTAGTATACAGACTAAAGTTGCTATACATTAAATATTTTGAATGATTAGTATTTTGTTCAGTTTTTGAAGACAAGAACATCATAATAAAATTTTAAAATGATTGCAGCATATTGCTTCCTTAAGATTATTTTAGAACTTGCTATAAAACAATTCAATTTTCTTAATAAAAACATCAATACAAAGGCATGTATTCTTTGAATACTTACTTTCAACAATATATCCACAATACGCTGTTGATATTCTACAGCTTGCTTGTCATTTTTAAAATCTTCAAAAGTCTAAAAGGGAGACATTTTTAAAAAGAATTATTTGCAAATTTTAGAAGGCAACAGGATATTAGTAATAGTCAGGAACAATTTCAAATAAGATACCCATTCCTCATCAACTTTTTGCTTATATACTTTTAATAGTAAAGTTTTTTTAGTTAGTTAAGTAAAAAGATATAGCACTTAATATAGTATGGTATTCTGAGACTTTAAAATAGACAAAAAAATATAAATATATAGTGATCATCATACAACCAAAAAGTGATTTGAGAAAGAAAGGCGAAGTTTAAAAGCAATGAAAAAGAAAGAACACTAATGGCAAGAGGCGACTTATGAGCAAGGGTTTGAGAAAGCTGAAATACATGTTATATGCTCAGTCATCATTCCGCTTATGCTATTTGGAAATACAGTTTATCAATTGCCAAGAAAAATAACTGTCATGACAAATAAGAAAAAATGATAGATATCTATAAAAATTATTATGGCAAAACTGATACAATGTTAAAATACTCAAGCCTATGTACAAGGAATAGGTATCTTATTTTCAAAACACTGCCAAGTATAGCACTTTTTATGGCCCTGCTCACGTGGAGTCAAATGTATTTTAAGTAGAACATGTATCAAAGTAAATGACAGTACCTAATTCTGGAAAATATCTGATACCTAGAGGATGCATATATGAAGGAATTGAAATTGTATTCATATAAAAACGGGTAAATAAAGTTATTTATTGAATAAGAAAGATGAAAGACTTGCAGATCTTCCCTATGGTTTTCACTCAGCACATTTGGCTCTTGAAATGTTTAAAATCACATAGCAATAATTTATTGCTTATTTTCCTGAAATAAGAAAATAGACTCCATATTGTGCCAATAGAGTAAAAAAAATTCACAGCCATGAACTTTCATGATTACGTCATAGTTACATTCAAATCACATACTTGCTGTTCTTCAAATGGGCCCTGAACTTTCCCAACTTCCCCAAAGCACCTGTGCTCATGCAGGTCTCTTATTAGCATGCCTTTCCTTCTTTCCTCCTGTCTGACCACACAGGAAGCACTTTAAACAAATTACTGCTGATTTGTCTAGTTAATTACACAAAAAAATAAATCTTTTTAGAAAATATTTTAACTTAGCTAGACCACTTTGCTGTCACTTAGTTGAGAAATGCTAAAACTATCAAGTTATCAAGGAGACTGTAAAAACTCTTATTCTGGAAAGATTGAACCAAAAATATTATGATGTTTAAGTGGGTTAAATATGATCCTACCTAAAGAGAGAAAGATGGACTAGAAAGTCTCTCAGTTCTATCTTCAGGTTTATGAGAATAACAAACATGCACACACTCACACACACAGCCTGCCAAAGTGTAGGTACAAACATAAGTTATTATCTCCTAATACAAGTACTAGTCAACTAAAATACAAAACCATGGAGAATTAATATACATATTATAAAAGTAATCAGTCAAGCAAGTAAAAAAATAATTTCATTATCTATTTTCCTTTTGGCAGGATGTATTCACTGCTTTGAAACAGATATTGAAAGTTTACTGCTGTAAACATAATTAAGTGGATATACATAATGACATTTTAAAAAAAATTTTATTATACGTTTTTATTAATTTGAGAGAGGAAGGGAGAGGGAGAAAGGGAGAAAAAGGGAGAGAAAGAAAGATAAACATTGATGTGAGAGAGAAACATCGATCGGTTGCCTCATGTATGCACCCCAGCCGGGACTGAACCCACAACCTGGGCATGTGCCCTGACCAGGAATTGAAACAGTGACCTTTTGGTACAGGGGACAACATTCAACTTGAGCCACATGGGCCAGGGCATAATGACATATTTTGATTGTATTTAACAGATGCCACTAAAATGGCATATCATTGTTAAAACATTATCATTCCACAAAGATGCTTCTAACTATACAATACTTGTTGGAAGACTAATATGCAAGGATGTCCTAATGGAGTTTATGAAGCACACAGGTATACCTAAAACTCAAGTCCAAAGTCATCTGTACATTTGGTCATAAAAACTTCTTTCTGTAGTTTCTTAAAAATTATTATAGGGTTTTTATAAGATAACAACAAGTGGCTAAATCCTAACCAAGGGGTAAACAAACATTCTCTGTAAAGGCCAGAAAGAAAATACTATAGGCTTTTTGGGCTATATGCAATCTCTGTGACATATTCTTCTTCTGTTTTTATTTATTTATTTTTAAATATACAAACTTTTATTCCAAGGTAATTCCAGAAAGTCATGTTTCAGTCATTTTTAAAGTGAGATAAATTGAAGATCTCAGAAAAATTGTATCTGATCTTCTTCTGTTTTTATAACCCTTAAAATGTAAAGAATTCTTAGCTCACACAGACCAGAGGCCAAATGAAGCTGAATTTGATCTACATACTGAAGTTTGTGGACCCTTGTCCTAATATCTTCAGGCACCCTCCAGCAAGATCCCTTCTATGATGATTAAAAACAAAACAATCAATCACCAACAACTTAGGCAAATGGGAAAACTAAAAGTGCAACAAATATCACAAAGTTCAACTTACATAAAATTAACTCAGGAAAATAAGCATCCCAAATGAGTAAAGTTGGCTCCAAAGCCCTAACACCAAAAAGAAGTCAGGATAAAATTGGGTAGAAGAAAGGAGAGTGTGACAAGATTTCAGTGGTGGCAGAACAACTATAATAGCAAAGAGAACCCACCCTGGGTGAGGAAATCCTGACATCAGCTCAGAGACCTGTGGGTCAGACCACAGCTAATAGGAAGGTCAAAGGAAGGGGACTGGCAAGTGTGGATCAGAGGTCTTAGCAAGACAATGCTTTTGGGCCAGAGGGAGGTACCTTGAAAGATGGAGATATTCCTTGGAGGTTTATGATAAAGAAGGAAGTGGCTCAAGATAAAGTACCTACTAAAACAAAATAATGTTAATATTGAGAAGATGACAGACCACCCTCAAAAGACACTATTTAAGAAATTACACTAAATTGTAACAAATGAAGAAGGCACGTGAACTAGGAAAACCAGCCGGTAATTTCCCCCCACCCTCCAACAAGGTCATCTATTATTGCCAGTCCAGAAAAACCAAATACAAAAAATGAGAATAAAAGCAGCAACTGAAGGCACTCTAGAATAAAACAAAATAAGAAGTAGCCATAAAATAGAATTGAACTATAACATCCCAACATATATTACATATGTTTAAACATACAATTGCAGGTCTGAAAGAACATCACAAACTGGAAATTTCAAAATTCAAAAAAGAAATGAACAAAGAATAGGAAAATATGAAATGAAGCTAATGAAAATCAGAAAAAAACTGAAATAAATGTCAAATTCATCTCAGAAATGAAGACAACTACAAGCCACCTAAGAGAGAAGAGATATGACCAAAAGCACAGTAAGAGAAGGAGAGAAGATAAATGAAAAGAAACAAAAAAATAAAATTTAAACAAAGAAGGAAATAAAAGAAATCAGAGAAAAGCTGATAAATATAAAAGAAAGAATATACAATCTAAATAATAAAAGCCTAAGCGACTGCTAAGGCAGAACAACCAGGTCGACTGGTCACTATGATGCGCACTGACCTCTAGGAGGCAGACGCTCAACGCAGAAGCTGCCCCTTGGTGGTCAGTGTGCTCCCACAGGGGGAGCGCTGCTCAGCCAGAAGCCAGGCTCACAGCTGGTGAGTGCAGCAGCGGTGGTGGGAGCCTCTCCCGCCTCCATGGCAGCACTAAGGAGCAGCAAGCCAAGCAGTAAGGAGCAGCAAGCAGGCAGGCGGTAAGGAGCGAGGTGTCCCAGATGGCAAGAGGTATGTCCAACTGCTGGCTTAAGCCTGATCCCCATGGGGAACAGGCCTAAGCCAGCAGGTGGACATCCCCCAAGGGCTCCTGGACTGTGAGAGGGCACAGGCCGGGCTGAGGAACCCCTCCCCAGTGCACACATTTTGTGCACCGGGCCTCTAGTATACAAATAATTAGAGTTTCTGAAGATAAAATAAAAAACAATCAAGCAGAAAAAGTATTTAATCTATAATTCAAGAAAAACATTCATGAAATAAAAAGACTCAAATTCACATATTAAAAGGGCCCACAATATATAAATAGGAGTGTGCAAAAGTAAGTTAATAATAATAATAAATAATATAATAATTAATAAATAATATAAGATAAACTGTTTTATATATCCACAACTGCAAACCTATTTTTGCCCAACCCTGTATGATAAAACTGAACCAGAACAGTCAATTCTAAGTGGTATCTTAGAGTAAAACTATTAGTTTTTAAATATATGAAAAAAAGTATTCTGGTTCTCTAAAAAAAGACTTAAGCCCCTGGGAAAGTTAAGAAAAATCAGGTTGACATCAGTTATCTTGACAGCAGTGTACAAAGATCAGAGGAAGGCAATTTTTAACTTATCAAAATTTTTACATTATACAATAATAGAGAAATCATTACATTGAGTCCTCGTCGCTCTGAAAACTACAAAATATTGCTGGCAAAAATTAAAGACATAAATAAATGGAACAATAAATCTTTTCACGGGTCAGGAAATTCAATATTGCTACGATGTCAATTCTCCTCAAATTGACTAAACATTGAACAGAATTCTAATCAAAATCCCAGCAGGCTTTTGAAAGAAATTAACAAGATAATTCTAAAAATTCATATTGAAAAGCAAAAGACAGAGCAATTTTGAAAAAGAACAAAAACATTGGAGCTCTAACACAATGTGATTTCCATACTTACTATAAAGCTACAGTAATGAAGACAGTGTGGTATTGGAATAAAGAGAGACAAACAGACCAATGACACAGAGTAGAGTTCAGAAGTAGACCCCACACATACACACGACAAATATTTGATAAAGTACAAAGACAATTCAGTAGAGAAAGAATAGTCTTTTCATCAAATAGTGCCCTAAGAGTTCTATATCCATAGGCTAAAAAAAAAGACAACACCCAAAACTTGCATCTAAACTTTGCACCACATGCAAAAATTTCTTCAAAATGGATCACAGATCTAAATGTAAAACCTAAAATCGTAACAATTCTAGAAGAAAACATAAGAGAAATCTTTGCAACCTTGAGTTAGGCAAATATTTCTTTGACATGACTCCAAAAGCATGATTATAAAACAAAACTGATATATTAGACTTGATAAAAATGTAAAACTTCATCTATTCAAAAGACATTGAAGATGGGCCATACCAAGTGTTGGTGAGACAGTGAGAGTACTGATACTCTCATATACTACTGGTAGGAATGTAAAATGGTACAACTGATTCAAGAAACGGTCAGTTTCTTATGAAGTAAAATAATACACTTAACAAATGACCCAGCAATTCCATTCTTTGATATATTTTTTTAAATATATTTATTTTTATTGATTTCTTACAGAGAGGAAGAGAGAGGGATAGAGAGTTAGAAACATCGACGAGAGAGAAACATCGATTAGCTGCCTCCTGCACACCTCCTAGTGGGGATGTGCCCGCAACCAAGGTACATGCCCTTGACCGGAATCGAACCTGGGACCCTTCAGTCCACAGGCCGACGCTCTATCCACTGAACCAAACTGGTCAGGGCCATTCTTTGATATTTACTTACAAGAAATAAGAAGATATGTCCACACAAAGGCCTATATGTAAAGGTTCATAATAGTTTTATTCATATTAGCCTGAAAACAAACCCAAGGACCATCTACTGGTGAAGGATCAACAAACCATATATCCATATAGAAAATTACACAGCCATAAAAAAGGAAAAACTTATTAATATAAGCAACAGCATGAATAAATCTCAAAAGCATTATTTTAAGTGAAGGAAGCCAGATAAAAAAACTACACAATGTATGATCCCATTTAAATAGCATTCTAGAAAAGGCAAAACTACAGTGTCAAAAAGCAGATTAGTTGTTGCCAGGGACTGAGTCTTAGTCTGGGAATGACTATAAAACTGCCCAAGGAGGTGATGAAAATGTTCTATATCTAGATTAATAGTAGTGGTTACAAGACTGCATACCTTTGTCAAGCTCTTCTCTTAGTAAATGGGTGAATTATAATTTATATAAATTATACCTCAAGAAAGCTAAATTTAAAAACTTTACTTGAAAAAAATATTCCTAAAAAAAAAAAAAAAAAAAAAAAAAAAAAAACTGGGAAAATGTGGTTTAAAAATCTGTCACCTAAATTCTTTTGTGTCTCTCTGAAAATGTTCTTTGTATTAAGTTATATTTACTGAACTAGAAAGGTCATATGATTAATCAATTATGGTAGACATAACAGGACTTTGTACCCTAAGCCTTATCGATTTCTCCAGCTTTAGTGCCTGGGGATGCAGCCAACACTGGATGTATACATGGAAGGAAACCTCCACTTGTCTTTTAGGCACTTCACATTCATTATGTTCAAAAGAGAACTAATTATCTAAATTTCCTCCCACCCCATCTCCTGAGAATCCTGTTTCCCCTCTGATTCCCTATTGAATCAACAAATAAACCACTACACATTCACTTCACCCAGTCAGAAACCTTGGAATCTTTGATGATTCCCCATTTGTTTTACCTTTCACATCCAAGAGTATATAAGCCCTAAATTTTAGGTCAATTTGCCTTCTAAAATATCTTCCAAATCCTTTCATGTCTTAGTGTCCTCACTGTCACTGCCTGAATTCAAGCCACCATTATCTTCTTTCTTTATTACTATAAAAATTTTCTAACAGATCTTCTTGCCTCCAATCTTATCTTATTTCAGCCCATTTTTCATACAATGGACAAAGGGAATTTGTCTAAACTACAAATCATGATATTCCTCTACCTAAAAGGCTTCAGTGGCTCTATCAACTGCTCTGTACAAAGTCCAAACTTCTTACCATGGATTACAATACTGTCTCTATCCACCTCTCTGGATTGGTCTCTCTGAAGACTTCCTTACACTCAAAGATGCAGCCATATTCATTTTTTTTCCCACTTCTTTGAAACATATTGTTCTCTCTTGTTTCCAGGCCTTTTCATATATTCTATCCTTCTGCCAACAATATTTCCCCTAACCTTAATCGGACTAGCTTCATCCTTTGAGACTCAACATGGACATTATTTTACCCAAGAAACTCCCTAAACCTCCATTAGATTTCCCTCGTAAGTGTTTCCACAGCATCTTCTCCAGTGGCATGTGTTACACTGTGCTATAATTACTTATATACAAGTCTGGATCCCCTTCCTCCACAGGGCATGGTTTATATCCTGTCAGTCAAGGGTGTACCCCTAGATAGTATCGTATATGTGATACAGTAGGCACTCAAATATTTGTCAAGCAAATGGGATTGTATTACAGCCTTACTATCAGTCCTAATATCGTAATTCAGACATCAGCATAATTCCAAATGACCTTCAGTGCTACCACAATCCCTAAAAAATAAAAATTGGGTAAAATTTTTTGCTGTTCTCTACCTCTCTTTCTGAAGCCCCTACCCCACACTTCTGTTCGTTTTTCCTACATGCCAAACACCAAGTTCCCCTATGTTTTCTGGATGTCTAAGTTCTCCTAAACCAACTAGGTCTGCCTTCCAGTTCTAAGTTTCTTTTCCCTTCTTTCTGTGCAGTTAAAATTACTACTTCTGAACACAGATTTTTCAAATTAAACTAATTCAAAGTAAGTATAATTGGAATGTAGATCTTCTCATGGGCACTTATTTTTTGTATTTAAGTTTATTATATTATTCAACTTATAAAAATACTTTATATTCATTAGAGAAATTTTCCCCATCTCACAGAGGTAATTACTATTAAGATTTAGATGTATTACAATGGAATACTACACTGCTGTAAAAAAGAAGGAATTCTTTCCATTTGCAACAGCATGGATGGAACTGGAGAGCATTATGCTAAGCTAAATAAGCCAGTCAGAGAAAGATAAATATCACATGATCTCACTCATTTGTGGAATATAATGAACAACATAAACTGATGAACAAAAATAGAACCAGAGACATAGAAGCATCAAGTAGACTGTCCAACCTATGAGGGAAGGCGTGGGATAAGGGGGTAAGAGATCAACCAAAGGACTTGTATGCATGCATATAAGCATAACCAATGGACACAACATGATTGGGGGGGGGGGGGGGCGGTGAGGGCACATGCTGGGGGGTGGGGGCAGCCAGGGAGAGGTCAATGGGGGAAAAAGGAGACTTATGTAATACTTTAATCAATAAAGAATTTAAATTATAAACAAAGATTTAGATGTATTATATTTCCAAATATTGTACATTACATATACAATATTTTTGTCTTCCTTCCTATCTTTCTTCAAATATTGTGCACACGCAATATTTAGGTTTTATACATTTGCGAGCCTGATGCTTCTTTAAACATTATAATATAAGCACTGTGTTATCAAAGACTTTTAAAAAACAACTTATAATACTATTTTGGGGGAAGATATATGTTTTATATAATTACTGGGGTCCCTCAGCCTGGCCTGCGGGGATCGGGCTGAAACCGGCTGACATCCCCTGAGGGGTCCCCGATTGCGAGAGGGCGGTTCTTGGGTGACGCACCCCAGAATTGGGCGCCCTCCTCTCTGGTTCCGGGTGCGTCACCACAGCTCAGCAGTTCCTGCACTGAGCGTCTGCTCCCTGGTGGTCAGTGCACATCATAGCTATCGATTGGAGTCTCTGCCCCCTTGGTGGTCATTGCCCATCATAGCTGGCTGCTAGCAGGTTGGCCAATCAGCTGGTTGCTTAGGCTTTCATATATATAGATTCTGCTGGGGGCATTTTCACAGAAACCTGGTTCACCCAAATCCATGTTTAATTAAACATGTATAAGGATTTTTTTTTTTCAGCAGGAAATATCTGTGTTCTATTTCTTTCTTTTCTTTTTTTTAAATATATTTTATTGATTTTTTTACAGAGAGGAAGGGAGAGGGATAGAGAGTCAGAAACATCAATGAGAGAAAAACATCAATCAGCTTCCTCCTGCACACCTCCTACTGGGGATGTGCCCGCAACCTAGGTACATGCCCTTGACCAGAATCAAACCTGTGACCTTTCAGTCCGCAGGCTAACGCTCCCTCCACTGAGCCAAACTGGTTAGGGCTCCATGTTCTATTTCAACTATCATCACCACCACATGTCCTTTAGATCCTTCTTCCATGTTTAGTATGCAACTAATATAACTTATGAAATAAAAAATGTACCACATTTAACCCTGCTTTTTTAAAATTTTTGATAAGAATATGTTAAAAATAGGAGAGAGAGAAGGCAGAAGAGAAAAGGAAGGAAAGAAGAGGGAGAAGAAAGGAAGGGAGATAAAGAATTAGAAATATTGGATGACATAACAAAATTTAACACCTGAAACCTTGACTTACTGCCAGGGCATAAAAATAGTACCTGCATAAGGACCATTATCTGTCTTTCTTTCTATTTTAAAAATGTTAACACCTGGCTTTTAAAACACCTTAAAATCATATTATCTTACCAGTGCCAATACGTTTAGAAATTCTCTTGTGTCAAAATGAAGCAAAGTCCGAACATAGGGATAGATTTCTTCCTCAGGGGAAGCTTCTGCTGAATGCAGGCGAATTAGAAATTCAAAAACCTGCCAAGTCGGAGGGGAAAAAGTTGATTATTTTCTCACCTTGCAAAGTATCTTGCTGAAGCATTGATTCCCATTTGGATAAACTGAAGGCAGGTTGAATTTACTCTAAAGTGCCACTATGTTATAACTTCTATAGCTATAATTATTGGTTTCAGTAATAGTGAGTAGGCTCTCCTATTACAGCTAATAGAGTGCTCCTGCCCCAGGTGTAACACTCAATACAATTGTCTTTAGCGCACCTTAACAAGAGGTGTAGGTGATAAAAATTCTGTGAAAATAGCACCAACCTGGTTTTTAACCAAAGGAACAAGATCTTCAGGGATGTCACCAAGGGGATAGGCACGACCTGCTAGACAACAGCTAGAAGAAAAGAACGAGAACAGATGTGGTGACTTGTAATGGGCTAACTTCCAGATAACATTGTTTCTCAAAACCAAGATACTAGTTTGATTTTAAATAGGCTCAGCTTTTGTCAGTTAGGTCTAGTTCAAACCCAGATCAAGATGGTAGCCAGTTCAGAAAATGTGGGGGACAGGGATGGTGGTGAAGTAACACATCTGTGACTAAATCACATTTCTTGTTATTTTCCTAAGAAAAACCCAAGCTTCTCTAAAGAGGTGAGAAGGAAAAGAGACTGTCTAAAAGTCACATACTGAGCATCTACAAAAAAACCTAATGGTGCCATTAAACTACGATTTCCCTGTTAGAAACCTGACTTTCTCAGAGGCGTTTAAACCAGTGGCTCTAAGAATGGTGATTAAAGATGGGGAATGAGCTAGGCTAAGACATGTCTGGAAAATGTCTACAATTAGACAAGCCTTCAGGGAGAGTTAGAATCTCATGAGAAATTAAGTATACAGTTTTACCTCCAAATCAGACTTCCCTATGGCTAATGGCTTGGCTTGTAGGCTGAAATACAAAATGTCTTCGAATATGCCCTCACTTTTTTCTGGATTGTTTTTTGGTATGTGTGGGGGTTTGAGGGAGGGGTGTGAATTTTAAACCTCTTTAAACTAGTCATCAACTTTGAGTGTTAGATTAGAGACAGCTGGATACCAGCATATTCTAAGAAGTTTAAAGTATGAAGAAGGTTTCATATTTAACTCTGATACTGGATAGGAGCTACAGTGATGCTCTGGCAGGTTCTGCCACTTCCCTGCCTGCCTGCCACCTGGCAGCAAGTTATCCACCTAAAAATTCCATCAGGACACAATTCTGAGCCTACATAGTCTATTGCAAAGAACTCTGTTCCAGCAGCAGTTTTACCTCTGTCACTAACTTTTTCATGATTTAAATCTCTTGCCCTGACATATAATATAGACAATACATATCCCAGCAAGGTGTAGTAAAAGTAAAGTACTCTGCATCATGGTTTCTTAACCTCAACCCTATTGATATTTTGAGAGAGATAATTTTTTGTTGTAGGGACTACCCTATACATTGTAGAATATTTAGGAGCTTCCCTGGCTTCTATCCACTAAATGCCAGTAGCATCTCTCCCCCAGTCTCAGTTGTGACAAACAAAAATGTCTCCAGACATTGCCAAATGACTTGCGGTGGGGGCAGGGTGCATGAGGGGACAAACTCAATCATGGTTGAGAAGCAGTGCTATACATGAAAGAGCAATGGAAAATGAAAAGCACTACATAGATAAGAGATGACAGTACCTTTAAGAATATAGGGGGAAATTATAGGATCATAATAGATAAAAAAATTTAAAAATCTCTTACCTAATATATACAAGAAGCTTGTTGCCCATAACAACTTGTTCATCTAAAATAGAACATTTATCATCAGCAATTCTCTCTCAAAACCTTTTCAGCAATATAATCGTTATGTGGAAACAAAAAAATAAAACCTGGCATTTAAGGTAAAGTGAGTATATCCGCAAGTAACAGAAAACTGAGATAAGACCACTTTATTATTTTTAGAATTCCCATTAGAATCTTTTCACAGACACAAAATCAATGAGTCATTCAAGGGTGCATATAGAAGAAATGGACTGAGGGTAGAGATCTATGTATTGTTGGCTTTACCAATAGCTTTGGACCAGGGGAAGGTGTAGAGCAGGCAATGAGTTGAATTATAGGTCATGACCAATTAATATTAAGGCATCTTAACATCTTCTCATTTGTAATGGGACTCTTACCATCTATGGTGCTCTAGGGCTGAGAAGGCCACAGCTCACAAATATTTGAGATACTGACTAAATGATCTTTAGGACCCTTGGTATTCTAAGTTAGGTCTAAAGTGTAAGAGTCTGTCATCTGGTAATATACACCTATTTCTTGATTAAAAGAAATTGGAAATATAATTAGACCAAGTTTTACGGCAAGGAGTCATGGGCAACAGAATAGAGTAAGGAGCACCAACACTGAGTGAAGTGATCAGTAACTCTTGTGGTGTGCAGATTATAGGAATTTGTGGTTGGTAATAAATGACGAGCTGAAGTTTCTATTTTTGATATATGAATACTAGACAGAATACAAGTGTATATCTCTTATTTAATCAGTAATCCTTTATAAATACTCCAAATCTATGTTAAGTGCAAATAAACTTGAATTCCTCAAAATTAAATGAATTATTTTATCCTGCTTCAATTCAAATTTAATTTAACTTAAATTAATAAACTTTATTTTTAGAGAAGTTTTAATTGGGTTTACAGCAAAATTGAGAGGAAGGTATAGAGATTCCCATATACCCCTATCCATATCCCCATACCACACAATCACCCCCACTATCAACATCCCACACCAGAGTGCTATGTTTCTTATAATCAATGAACCTACATTAATGCATCATTATCATCTAAAGTCCATATTTTACAGAAAAGTTCACTCTTGTGGTGCACATTCTATAGGCTTTGACAAATATATAATGACATGTATCCACCAATATAGTGTCAGACAGAATAGTTTCACTGCCCTAAAAATCCCAAGGTCTACCTGCTCATCTCTCCCTCCCTCCCCACTAACCTCTAGCAAACACTGATCGTTTTACTGTCTCCATAATTTTGCCTTTCCACATGTCACATAACTGGAATCATACAGTAGGTAACCTTTTCAGATTGGCTTCTTTCACTGAGTAATATGCATATGTTTCCTCCATGTTTTTTCATAGCTTGATAGCTCATTTCTTTTTAGTACTGAATAATATTCCATTGTCTGGATATACCACAGTTTATTCATCCATTCATCTACTAAAAAACATCTTGATTGCTTGCAAATTTTGGTAATTAGGAAGAAAGCTGCTATAAACATCTGTATGCAGTTTTTGTGCAGACGTAAGTTTTCTGCTCCTTTGGGTAAATACCAAAGAGAGCAATTGCTAGATCATATGGTAAGAATATGTTTACTTTTGTAAGAAATCACCAAAATGTTTTCCACAGTAGTGGTACCATTTTCCAAATTAAAACCAAAACAAAATAAATAAAGACTGAAATAAAGGAGAGAGGAAAGAAAAATAAAGAACATCAATAAAATCATAATTGGTTTTTTAAAAAACTAACAAAATTGACAAACCTTTAGCTAGACAGACCAAGAAAAGGAGAGAAGACTCAAATTACAAAAATCATTAATAAGAGATATCCCTGCTGACCTTTCAGAAATAAATGACAAGAGAATACCCTAGACCCGTGGCCGGCAAACCGCGGCTCGCGAACCACATGTGGCTCTTTGGCTCCTTGAGTGTGGTTTTCCACAAAATACCACATGCGGGTGCGCACATACAGTGCAATTGAAACTTCGTGGCCCATTCGCAGAAGTCGGTATTTTGTGGAAGAGCCGGTATTTTGTGGAAGAGCCACACTCAAGGGGCCAAAGAGCCGCATGTGGCTCACGAGCCGCGGTTTGCCTTGCCGCAGTTTGCCGACCACTGCCCTAGACAATATACACCAATAAATTTGATAACACATATAATATGAACAAATTCCAAGTACACAAACTTCCAAACTGAAGCAATAGATAATCTACATAGACTTAACAAGAAGAGACTAAATTAGTAATTTTAATACTTCCCAAAAAGAATATCCCTGGTCCATATGGCTTTATTAATGAACTCTATCAAACACTGAAAGAGCGCCAATCCTACAGAAACTCTTAAAATCACACACCAAAAAACAGGAGGGCACTTCCCAATTCATTCTATGAGGCAAGTATAACAAAATATCAAATATACTTTATACCAAGACTAGCAAAAAATATGAGAAGAAAATAAACTACAGAACAATATCCTTTATGAATATAGACATAAAAATACTCAAAAGATAACACTAGCAAACTCAATCCAGCAACGTGTAAAAAAAAAGTATACAACATGACCAAGTGGGATTATCCCAAGAATGTAAGATTTGTTTAACACATAAAAATCAATGAATCTTACAGACCATATCAACAAAGGACAAAACCCACAAGATTACCTTAATAGATGCAGGGAAAAACATTTGATCAAATTCAACTCTTTCATGTTAAAGACACTCAACAAACTAGGAACAGAAGGAAACATCCTCAAGCTCAAAAGGCCATCTCCAAAAAACCCACAGTCAACATCCCATTTAATGGCGAAAGACCAAATTCTTTCCCCCTTAGGTTAGGAAAAAGATAAGAATAGTCATTCTTGCTATTTCTGTCAAACACTATACTGGAAATTCTAGCGAAGCCAACTAGGGAAGAAAAAAATAAATAAAAGAAGTGCATATGAGAAAGGAAGAAGTAAAACTACCTCTACAGCTGACATGATCTTATATATTTAGAAAATTCTAAAAACTCCATTAAAAATTAGAATAAATGAATTCAGCAAGAATGCAGGAGATAAGATCAATATACAAAAAATCAATTTCATTTCTATACACTAGCAATGAACATTCCAAAACTGCAGTTGCCCAAGAAAATGAACACATATGCCCACACAAAAATTTATTTACAGGTAGGGATCAGCGATGGGGGATAAGGGAACATACCGGATACCACATAGTGATGAAACCGTTCTATATCTTGACTTTATGTGAATATCCGGTTGTGATACGGTGCTTTAGTTTTGCAAAATGTTATCATTGGGAAAATGGTAATGAGTACACAGGATCTCTTGTCTCATTTCTTACAACTGCATGTGAATCTCTAATTTCCTTACAATAAAAAGTTTAATTAAAAACAAAATTCATCACAAATGTTGTAGCATTACTTATAATAGCTCCAAACTGGAAGCAACTCAAATGCCCATCAACTGGTAAATGAATAAACAAATGATGGTATATCCAATTCATGAAATACCATTCAGTAGTAAAAGGGAATGAAATATTCATACATGCAATAACATGGGTGAATCTCCAAACATTATGCTAAATGAAAGAAATGCAACATCAAAAATAACATACTGTAGGATCTATTTACATGAAATGTGTGACAGAAAGTAAATCGGTGATTGTCTAGGTTGGACTGCTGGCAAAGGATAGAGCACAAAAGGGCAGGAGGAAACTTTTTAGTGTGAAGAAACTATATATAGTTCTCACTACAAATTTCATTATGGTGGCAGTTACATGATTATGTACAATTACCAAAATTTACGCTGTACACATAAAATTGGTGAATTTTATGATATTTAAATAATATCTTAAAATACAAGAAAAGGAAAAAAAAAAAAAAGAAGGCTTAGAAAATACCTGTTAGTGTCTTTCCTGCATTCAGAGGAGGAGCAATGACTTTGAAAAGTTTCTGCATAAAAATGAAAATAGGAAAACAATCACCATCATTTTTCAAGAAGAGTATTTTTTAAAAGATAATCACAAATCTTATGCTATTAATCATCTTTCTCTGACTGAATTAGATAGTCATATACTATTGAAATTAACTATAAAAACTTTTAATGTGGACATGAACTGTTTTAGAAGGATCACTGGGAAACAGTCATTGCCATATTCCTCACTGAAAGAAACCATTTAATAAACATCAGTTTGATGAAGGTCTTTGTTGAGATTATAATTTCTTATATAAGATATCCTTAGCTTTCTTAAAAAAACAGTAAGCAAGTGAAGGGATTAATAACCCACCAAAATGGTAATGAAGATTACTTTAAACTGAAATCATCTGAACGATCAGCAGCCACAGACAGAAACATTACCTAAATTCAAACAGAGCCTCTGAAAATACAAGATTAATGGCAAAACTAACTGGCCTTCCCGGAAGAGAGTTTTCTCTTTGGGAGAAGACTGATCCTTAGCACTGGAAAATGCAAATGCAGTTCTATATTAACACCAAAAAGCCCAATAAAACCATCCAAACTTCTCCATAAAGCCCTAACTCTCTCCCCACAGAACGTTTTGTTAAACTGGTACTGGTATAAACTTTTACTACTGGCTATTCAGTGAGTTACTCATCACTGTAAGCTGCCAGTACACAAGTGAATAAATCTTGTCTTTTCTCCTATTAATCTGACTATTATCAGTAAATTCACAGCTTTCCCCCACCAGTGGGACCTAAGTTGATAGAGGAGGTTTTCCTCTCAATACAAGGCACTACTTTTACTCCAGAAGCAACCACAACTAGAACTAAAAAAAGATTTGAGACTATAGTAGCCATCTCAAATTTGATGACTGTCCTTCATTCTACAAAATTTCAAAAGACAGGACAACTCCCTTTAATTTAGACCTTTGTAAGTACTGAAATAACTAAACTCTAAAGACTGAAAAGAGATTTTCTTATTGGCAGAGAATCATAAAAGAAGTAATAAAATGCATCTAATCTCCCACTGCTAAAATCTCTAAATGACTATTTAATAACAAGTACCAAGCTCCTGGTGATAGTCATTAAACTTGAAAACTACTCTTAACACACACAAAAAGGCAACCTCAGTGTGCCATGTGAGATACACAGGTATAAATGCAAACCAGATTTTGAATAAAAAACCCACATAAAACAAAAACTTCAAAAGCAACAATAACAAAAAACCACTAATCATTTTTTTCAACATAGAACGCATCAAATTAGAATCTGCTTTAAGGACTTATTTTGAAAGTAGGAACTGCATTAATCCTTCCTAATTGTGGTTTAGTAGTGGGACAGAGAACAGTTCTGCAGGCAGGGAGGCTCTGGACCTCACTGAGTAGGCAGCTGATGGCTCTTTCTCTGGGTGAGGAAGTAGCTGATAGGTGTTAAGAATAAAAAATACTTATCTGACACACAATCAGGGTCAAAAGCAGAGGAAGAGAGCTGTGGCTCTCATTTGGAAAACTGACCAAGAAAAGAGGTGCATCCAAAACTGAAGAAGTTATGAATGAGAGGGATACCCAGCAAGCTAAATGCATTTAAAGAAGACAGAATTATCATGGAATTACTGCTGACTTAATAATACTGAAGATAGTTTTGCATGGCCATTAAGTATGAAAAAAAGTTGACTGGATGCCTTCAGCAAATGCCTGGCTCTTCTGAGCCAGGCGATTAGTCACTGTAATAAAGCAATGGGCCGGCAGGACACATTGCATTATCCACAATTCTGTCTTCAAATATAAAGCAAATAACAAGGAGGATATGGGTGTGTGTGTTTTTCTTTTTAAAATGCTCTTCAGATGCTCTTTTCCGTCGGTAAGGAGAATAAGAAATTATACTTACATAACGAATGCTACAAAATTCTGAACTTGGAAAAGCAACAAACCAGCAATTAACACATAATTACCTCTCAACATTTTCAGGACCTTCCCCAGCAGACTATATCTACAAATAATATTACTCAATAGTACATTTATTATATACAATAACAATAATATATTTCTTATACCTTTGGGAAAAGCTATTATAATATCAAAAGATTCTTCAGAAAAAAACTTAAAGTCTAACAGGCATGCATTACTTTTTATTTTCTACTAGAGGCCTGGTGCACAAATTCATGCACCAGTGGGGTCCCTCAGCCTGGCCTCTGGGATCGGGCCGAAACCAGCTCTCTGACATCCCCCGAGGGGTCCCGGATTGCGCGAGAGCGCAGGCCAGGCTGAGGGACCCCACTGGTGCACGATCAGGGCCAGAGAGGGACACGGGAGGTTGGCCAGCTGGGGAAGGGACCACAGGAGGGCTCCAGGGTATGTCTATCCCATCTCGCTCAGTCCCTAAAGGCCGGACCCTGGTAGCAAGCTAATTTACCAGTTGGAGTATCTGGCCCCTGGTGGTCAGTGCTCATCATAGCGACTGGTTGACTGTCTGCCCCCTGGTGGTCAGTGCACGTCATAGCGAGTGATTGAGTGGCCTTAGCATATCATTAGCATATTATACTTCGATTGGTTGACCAGACAACTGAACGACCGGACACTTAGCATATTAGGCTTTTATTATATAAGATTAGAGGCCCGGTGCACAAAAATTTGTGCACTCGGGGGGAAGGGGTGATCCCTCAGCCCGGCCTGTGCCCTCTCGCAGTCTGGGACCCCTCGGGAGATAACGACATGCTGGCTTAGGCCTGCTCCCGGGTGGCAGAGGGCAGGCCCAATCCCTAGGTGCAGCCCCTGGTCGGGCTCAGAGCAGGGCCGATTGGAGAGTTGGGGTGCCGCCCCTGTCATGCACAGAGCAGGGCAGATTGGGAGGTTGCGATGCCACCCTCAGTCACGCTCTGGGTAGGGCTGATTGGGGGGTTGGGACACCGCCCCCTGTCACATTCAAGGCAGGGTCGATGGGGAGGTTGCGGCACCACCCCCTGTCACGCACAGAGCAGGGCCGATAGGGGAGTTGGGGCACTGCCCCCTGTCACACACAGAGCAGGGCGGATCAGGGGGTTGGGGTGCCGCACCCTGTCACACTCAGGGCAGGGCCGATGGGGAGGTTATGGCTCTACCCCGTCACACACAGAGCAGGGCCCGTGGGGGGCGGTTGGGGCATCGCCCTCTATCACCCACAGAGCAGGGCAGATCAGGGGGTTGGGGCGCCGCCACTGTCACACTCAGGGCAGGGCCGATGGGGAGGTTATGGCCCTACCCCGTCACATACAGAGCAGGGCCCATGGAGGGCGGTTGGGGCATCGCCCTCTATCACCCACAGAGCAGGGCAGATCAGGGGGTTGGGGCGCCGCCACTGTCACACTCAGGGCAGGGCCGATGGGGAGGTTATGGCCCTACCCCGTCACACACAGAGCAGGGCCCATGGAGGGCGGTTGGGGCATCGCCCTCTATCACCCACAGAGCAGGGCCGATCAGGGGGTTGGGGTGCCACCACTGTCACACGCAGGGCAGGGCCGATGGGGAGGTTATGGCTCTACCCCGTCACACACAGAGCAAGGCCCGTGGGGGGCTGGGGAGGGGGAGGTTTGGGGCGCCGCACCCTGTCACACACAGAGCAGGGCCGATCAGGGGGTTGGGGCACCGCAGCCTGTCACACACAGAGCCGCAGGGCGATCAGGGGGTTGGGGCGCCTTCCCCTGTCAGGAACAGAGCAGGGCCGATAGGGAGGTTGTGGCCCCGCCCTCTGTCACACACAGAGCCGCAGGGCGATCAGGGGGTTTGGGCGCTGCCCCCTGTCACGCTGATCCCAGTGCCGGCAGGCCTCGCGGCTCCGCTGATCCCGGTGCTGGGAGGCATATTACCCTTTTACTATATAGAATAGAGGCCTGGTGCATGGGTGAGGGCTGGCTGGTTTGCCCCGAAGGGTGTCCTGGATCAGGGTGGGGGTCCCCACTGGGGTGCCTGGCCAGCCTGGATGAGGGGATGATGGCTGTTTGCAACTGGTCACACACCCTTCATGGTGGGGGTCCCCACTGGGGTGCCTGGCCAGTCTGGGTGAGGGGCTGAGGGCTGTTTTCGGGCTGGTGGGTGACTGAAGCTCCCAACCGCTCCTTTTTTTCTTTTTTTTAAATTCTGGGACAGCTTTAGCTCTGAGGCTCCAGCTCTTAGGCCTCCGCTGCTGAAAGCAGGTTTCTGGCCTTTGTTTACCTTCTGTATTTGAAACAATGTTGCGATCCTGCTGGCTGAAGCCCGGCGACTAAAGCAGGTTTCTGGGGTGTTGTTTAGCTTCTATATTTGTAACATAGTTGCTTAAATTTGCAACTCAGAGGCCGGCAGCGGCAGGCGGGGAACGTTGGAGTCCTCCGTCACTGAAGCAAGCAAGCCTCATGTTAGCTTCCAGCTGCCTGGCTGCCGGCCGCCATCTTGGCTGGCAGTTAATTTGCATATCGCCCTGATTAGCCAATGGGAAGGGTAGCGGTCGTACGCTAATTACCATGTTTCTCTTTTATTAGATAAGATACTAGAGGTCCAGTGCATGAAATTCTTACACTCAGAGGGGAGGGGGATGCCTCAGCCTGGCCTGTGCTCTCTTGTAGTCCAGGAGCCCTTGGCGGATGTCCAATTGATGGCTTAGGCCCGCTCCAGAGGGAGCGGGCCTAAGCCGTCAGTTAGACATCCTTAGCGCTGTGGGAGCACACTGACCCCAGGTGGCAACTGACCCCAGGTGGCAGCTCCTGCATTGAGTCACTGCCCCCTGGTGGTCAGTGCATGTCATAGCAACTGGTTTGTTCTGCCGGTCGGTCAATTTGCATATTGGCCTTTTATTATATAGGATTATTCCCTAATATCTAAATACTTACTTATGCAGATATAAAAAAGCAATGGGAGAAAATGTGAAATTAAAGGGTACTTAATAAATTCGTAAATGGCTCCAAGCCTAATCTAAAAGAAATTTTAAAAATTATTCTATGAAAACAGAAACTATTCAAAGAAAATATAAAATAGGGGAAAAAACACTAAAAGACAATATTAAATATGTGTTCAAGATAGGGAGTATCTTACCTCCATTGGACTAATAAACTCATTCATGCCTCTGTTGTAAACATAGATCATGGCATCATATAGATGATTTTCCCAACACATGAGAACTACCTGTAAAAAGGAAAAGTTGCTTGGTCGATACAATTGAATAAGTCAAACCAATTATTACCCTTAAACCTCTAAGAATGGAGAAGATCTTGAATTCTCCTCCCTAATTTTTCTTATTCCTTCTCTGCAAAAAAATTGAAACTGAAGTACTCAAACACAGGCCCTGATAAGAGCTGTTGTAGGTTCAATACTACTCTTAATAGTATAAGAACTACTTCTAAACATCTTCCAATATCTAATTTTATTTTGTCTCTATTCTCACCTTTTCCATATTCATTTTAGCTTTGGTCAACAGGTCTACAAATATTTGCTGAACAACTACAAGCAGGTCCTCTTCTAGGCACTGGGGATAAAGTGATGGGACTAGTCCCCACCCTTAGAGATCTTCCAATCATCTTAAATACTAACTAAAAGAAGGGAGGGGCACCAAATGGTATGTGAGCTATAACTTAGGGAAGATACTCAAGTAGACAAATAATTCATATCACTATTACACAACTGTGATAAGTGCAATAAAGGAACCTGGTTTGGTCTGGAGTATTCAGGAAGTCATCCTAAAGGAGCAACATTTAAGGTAGGACAAAACAGATGCATGTATGTGAGCCAAAGGCACAGGTGGAAACTGGGAACTCTGCAGGCAGAAATAGTAATGAATTTGAAATGTTTAAGAATGGAGAGAAATCAATTTAAGAAAATATTTAGGAAGAGGAATAAAGATGACTGAAGTATAGAGTACTCTGTATTCTGTTCCTATGAGAGTCGTACTATCCTACTTAGTGATGAGAGGGCTGGAGTAGAAGAGTAAAAGAGAATGAATGATAAGGGGTTGCAGAGAGGTAAGAGTAAAAATCAAAGTGAGGTGTAATGGGAGAGCCTTTCTAGACAAACACAGGTTCTCTTCCCTGACTACCCTCCTCTCAGCCAATACCATGATCTTTACTGATGACTAGCACATTTACAGGTTCAGTCCTAATCCAACTTCTGAACCATATATCTCATCACTTACTTGCTATTTTCACCTGAATATCTAGTAGCTATCTTAAAATAAAATGGCAAAACAGAATTCCTGATTTTTGTCTCCCAACCCTAGACCTACACCAATCTTCCAAACTTCTTAAATAAATCACTACTGTTTCTCAAAACAAAAAACTAGACATCATCCTTAAATTGCCCCCTCCCCCAACCACCACCCAATTCATCAGCAAAACAGTTCTACCTCCAAAACATATCCAAAACCAGGCCCTCTCTCTCCATCTCACTGCTACCATCTTTGGCCAGGACCACCTTCTGGACCAGCTCCTAACTAGTCTCCTTGCTTCTTCTGTCCTTAGCCCTCACCCCTTCTTCTGTTACTCCTAAAGCAAACCAGAGAATCTTGCTTAAAACTTTTACCTTGCCCTGAAAGGTCTACCTCTCTCTTTCAAAGAGTCTCCAACTCTGTTTGTCTTTTATCTGTTACTTTAACCCCTAAGGCACACATAAAAATATTTTTTTCATGAGCTGTTGCTTTTAACTATTGCAATCTTCTTCTCCAAGATCTTTACATTAGTGATTCCTTCTTTGCCGGGGTCCAACCCCAGCAGGTCCAGGGGTCCCCAAAGGTGTGGACGGAGTCGGCGAAGAAGGAAGGACACGGAGACAGCATTCAGTTGAGCAGCAGCCTAGCCAGGATCTCTAGCCAAGATCTGTTCAGGATCTCCAGTGAAGTTCTGGTTAGGATCTCCAGCCAGGTTCTGTGTCCAAGTTCTCTTGCTAGGTTCCCCAGCCAGGTTCTGTCCAGGTTCTCCAGCCAGGTTCAGTTACCAGGTTCTAGTCAGGTTCTCTTGCCAATTTCTGTAGTCAGGTTCAGTCCAGGATCTTTTGCCATGTTCTCTCGCTAGGTTCTGTCTCTAGGTTCTGAGGCCAGTTTCTGTCCAGGAACTTTTGCCATGTTCTCTCCAGCGAAGTTCTTCTGTCTCTAGAGAACGTTCTGTGTAGGTTCTGTGCCTAGGTTCCGTCTCTCTTGGTTCCGTATTCTAAGTTCTGTGTCTTACTGTCTTATTACATCTGTATTTATACCAGTTGATTCAATCCTATCAATCTCTATTACAAAGGTTAGGGCGTTTCTTATCTCCATTCCAGGGAGTAAAGATTATGTAGCTTAAGCATGATTGTTCGTAGTTAAAGTGATTAATTACCCACCTGGCACTAGTTAAGAGGTTTTATTCCCTCCCTAACTTCAGGGGAAAATCCCTACCTGGGGAAACAACCTTTCTCAGAGAGGCGACCTTGGTTAAAACACATAGTGCCAAGAAGGTGAGCAAACATATTAAGAACAGTATGCCATATATGCCAGGTCCCTTGAAACAGCAAGCATGGACCGGCTCCCGGCACTTCTTGTCCTTCGGAACCACTCAAGGTTGCTTCCTCAGAAAGACTTTCTATAATTAGCCAATCTAAAGTAGACTATTCTCTCCCTACCAGATTGCCTGTTTGACTTTTAATATAACACTTGATTTTGGATATTTCTAATTTGTTTACTTATCTGCTAATTGTCTAACTTTTTGCTAAAATGTAAGCCTTAACAGAGGGCAAGTCTTGTCCACTAGGGTCCATAAAACATCCTTAGAACCTCAGATTCAATAAATGCTCCTTGAATTAATGATCAAAATACTGTTCATCTGAAAGAGTAAATAAAATATGAAAAATATCAGTTGATATGGTGGACATGGAAGTCATTGCTAACTGTGGTGAAAGCAAAGTTGAAGAGTTATTAGAATATAAAAAAATGGAAATAGCAATTTAGACAATGCTTTCAAGAAATCAGTGACTGGGAAGAATGAGATGGGGTAACCTCAGGGAAGAAGGAAAGCAGAACTGATATGGAGAAAAAGGAAACTGAAGGAGACATTTTTTGATTGTTTTAATGTAAAAAGATTAGAATTTATTTACACAGTATTGGGGAAAAGCTTAAATGTTAGAAAGAGAAATTTCTCCTATATTGTGATAGGTAAATAAAGCTAGGCTGATAACATGCTCTCAAACCACCAGACCAATTATCAGACTGTGAATACTATGCCAAATTACCCATATAATACAAAGGCATATATAACGGAGGATTTGGTTTTACTTTACTCTTTACTCACAGCCATTCATAAAGAGCTTCCAGGAAGGAAACAACCATTTCTCTAAACCCTTCATTTCTATGTAATTTTGCACATTAAAAGAAAACTTTTGGCCTGTCTAAGATCTTTGTAAGTTACCCATATTTTAGTTTAACAGGGCTTAGTGGCTTAGCAACTTCGTGCCTTTGCAGGAGCAGCATGTTCATTATTAGGACTAATGTGGAAATAAAGAGGTAAATTGTGAAACATCTTAGGCCAGAATATATACTGCTCCTCAATTAAGGGCTGAAAACTTGTTATAGAAACCTCAGATATACTGGAAACATATTATCAAACAACAAGATAGCTGATCATTCTGAGATGTCCTGTACTTTGCTTCTTATACTATTTCAAAACTCAATGCATGATAATTATCAACTCTGGACTTAGAAACTATCTTTTATTTTTTAAAAATAGCACCATACTCTTAAAGTAAAAATATTTTATTATTCATGTGAAAGTACTCAGTTGAAATACACTTGCAGGATGAAAACTGTAGTCGTTAACAAACAGATAAAGAAGGACCAGTCAATAAAGAACAGTCCTAAGAAACATACTGACAAATAGAAGCTTATAAGACATCATAGCAAGAGTGCTCAGTAAGTAACCGGGGTTGACAGATGGCAGAGTGAGGTCCAATCAGTCAGGTAAACACAGGGTTGGGCAAAAGTAGGCTTATAGTTTATTTGTATGTAAAATAATACAATGATTAATAAATAATAGTACAAGAATAAACTATTTCACATATAACTGTAAACCTACATTTGCCCCACCCTGTATAATCAATAAAGGAATGATGTTTAATCTGTAAGTTAGTAGACTGTCTATAAACTCACCTGCTGAATATCTAAGCTGGTGATATCCATATGTACAATGAGAGCTTCCACATTTTCCATTAACTTTTTATCTTGGAAATGAACAAGCAAGTCTTTCATTACCTGGGGTGTGATCCCCACCAATTTATCACTTAAAATATATGGCTCAAGGCACTCCAAAAACACTCCTTTGGCCACTGAATTCTCACTTAATTTGTCATACATCTGGCTAAATAAAAGATCTCTATAACAGAAAGAAAAAGACATACAAACTTTTAGGAACATTCCAAACATCCATTAAATCCAGTCTACTAAATATATCCTCTTTTTTATATTTCAACTTACAAGTTTATTAAAAACAGTAACAATATTTGCATGGGTCTTTATATTATGAAAATCTTAATGTGTGTGTGTGTGTATACATATATACAATCTTAATTCTCCCAATACTTCTTTTACAAATAAGAAAAGGTGAGTAAGTTACATTATTTGCTGAAAGGCACATAGCTGACAGGTGATAGAGTCAGAATGGGAACTCAGCCTTCCCGCCTAAATCCTGTCTGAGTCTATTATGGCACACTGCTTCGGAAAGACAACACATGGGAGCAGATAGTGTAGTGAACATGATGAAATAGGATAAAATCAAAAAGGACTATTCACAAGTTATCTCTTCCTCTTCTATGGTATCTAAATATTCCTAGCTGATCTTCAGAGGCAACTTGCTTCTTTATCTAGTTCTTAACATTGGCTTCCCAAAGGAGTTAGGCAGTGATTATAGATAGTAGAAGTAGAAAATGTACAATACTTTAAAAATATGTCTGGAAATAATTTTATTGCAGAAACAAGTTTTTGAAATTAATCTAAATGCCACTATACTCAGTAATTATATTTTATCCACTCATTCATATTTCTTCTGCAAATAGTCCATTAATACTTTTAGTTATTCCCTTCATAGGTATAATTCTAAATTCTGTTTTCTTTTTTTAAAAATTGTTTTCATATAACATTATATAAGCATTATTCTAAGTTGCTACCTACTTTTAAAATGACCATCCTAACTCACAATGCTTCAATGTGCTAAAACAGCAGAATTCCCTAAGCTATCCCTGTATTGATGGCTTTATCACTTACTTCCAGTATTTTAATATTATGAGAGACGCCACAATGAACATCTACATATATAGACTTTACCATCTGAGGAGCTTAATGTCCTAGTCATACTACTTTTAGAATTCTATCTCTAGTTAAAAGATATGAGAAAAATTGTGTGGCACTTGAAATGTATTACTAAATTATCTTGAAAAAGCACCACAGTACCAGTTTACACTGCTACCAGCAATGTATAATAATACCAGTTTCACCAGACAACTGTTCCCCCCCCAGATAATTTAATAAGTATAAATTGAACATCACTGTTTTCAACTCTCTGATGAATGACAAAATTAAATGTTTTCCAAGTTTTCATTTATGCATTGTATTGCCTTGAATCATTCACTAATTCATTCATTCCTTTTTTAAAAAAATTATTTTATTGATTTTATAGAGGAAAGGAGGGAGAGAGAGATAGAAACATCAATGATGAGAGAGACTCATTGGCTGCCTCCTGCAAGTCCCACACTGGGGATTGAGCCTGCAACCTGGGCATGTGCCCTGACCAGAATTGAGCCACGTGACTTCCCAGGTCACAGGTTGACACTCAACCACTGAGCCACACTGGGCTCATGCCTTTTTTTTTGTTTAAATACAAAAACTATGCTAGTCCTATATGCCTGTCAGTATTCTTTATTTTTTTACTAAATGTATAATCTCTCTAGATGTGTATCCTGTCAATTGTGAAAAGTGCAAATGGTTCATCCACAGGTGAGGACTCTCATGACAAGTTCCACAAAAAGGTCAGGACAGATTCTGAACAGAGTGGGATAGGGTCTTGTCCCTTTTAAAGTCCTGGAAGGGGCAGACAATAAACAGACTGGCTGCAACTCATCAGAACCACAGCCACTTTTCAATAAACAGCATTTGCAATATCCTGGGGGTGGGGGAGGGGGAGAAGCGGGGTCCATATCCTTTTTATTTCATATCCACAAATGTAATTTCTGCATCATTTCCCCTTTGCTTCATATTTATCAGAGTATTTTCATGTTAGTTTCATTTTAATCAATAATCCATCACATGTTTGTGATTACAAATTACTAGCCAAGTAAAAGAAACTGAAATTAATGAAGCTTTACTATAAGAAACATAAAGTGAGAGTAACTCTAATAAATTTAAAGAAAATGTCAGATTTGCCAGTGCTTGCACTCTGCAACGTGTTGTTAAAAACAACATGCTAGGGAAGATAATTATATATTTTAGTTCAGCACAAAAGCCCTGGGGAGGAGAATTAAAGAGCTAAAAACTCAGTAAACAGAGCCTAAAAGTTGACAAACAAGGCACTTCTGCAACACACAGCAGCATGCAATGCTGTAAGATTAATGGCAAAACTCTAAGTTTCTTTCTTAACCAGTCAGAGGCTATAATAAAGAAGTAAGAAAACTAAAATTCAGCAATTCCTAACTACATTTCTAGCTTAAAATAAAAACAAAACAAAATTCTAAGACATGTTCTCATCACTCTGGGAAGGAGGGAGAAAGAAGTACATACAAAATGAGTTTTTAGCTCTTGTTTTTCTGTTTATATTTGGCATTATACTCCTGGTGCCAACTCTCTGTACAGGAAGGGCTAACTTCAAAACTGCTGTTTATATCACTTCTAGCTTAGCCTCCCTAAAGCCAGTATAACAGAATAACAGAACATCCATTCTGAATAATCTATATATAGCTATATATATATAAAAGCCTAAGCGACCATTGCAACCAAACGGACGACCAAACAGGCTGCGTAAGGCGACCAGGTCAGCAGGGGGGTTAGTGGCAAACGACCGAGCAGCAGGCCTGTGGGGTGACCAGGCCAGCAGGGGGTTAGTGAGGGGCAACCAAACGACCGAGCAGCAGGCTGCGTGGGGCAGCCAGGCCGGCGGGGGGGTGGGGGGGGGCGGTTAGGGGTGACCAGGCCAGGGCAAGGACAATTGGGGGTGACCAGCCTGGCAGGGGGGCAGTAAGGGGCGTCCAGGCCAGCGGGGGCGGGGGGGAGTTAGGGGTAACCAGGCAGGCAAGCAGTTAGGAGCCAGTGGTCCTGGATCATGAGACAGATGTCTGACTGCCGGTCGTAAGGCGGGCCTAAACCGACAGTCGGACATCCCCTGAGGGGTCCCAGATTTTAGAGGGTGCAGGCTGGGCTGAGCGTAACCCCCCCACACACGAATTTCATGCAGTGGGCCTCTAGTAGGTCATTGTTCTTTCTGAATAACCTCACTTTATATTAAAACACATATTAAAGATATTATTTGGGCTTGTGTAGCCCGACCCCACCCAAGGAACAGCAGCCACCTGATCACCACACCCTCTGTCTGAGGAACAGCAGCTGTGTGTGAAGCCTCCCCCCACCAGCCAGAGGAGCCACCACAACTGTGAACAGCACCCACCAGAGGAGCTGCTACCAACTGAGGAGCAGCTACTACCACAACCGCCCAAGGAGCAACCGTAGCCCAAGAAGCCACTGCCACCCAAGGAGCAGCCACTGAACGACTCAACATCTAGATATGGCGGTACAATCAAACATGGGTAGACAAAGAAACCCCTAAAGGAAAGAAAAGGAGGACTCGCCAGAAAGGCAGCTAAGTGATACAGAGGCATGCAACATGACAGAAAAAGAATTCAGATAAAGGGTCCTAGAGTGCATAAACCGGATGGAGGAAAAAATCAACAACTTATGCAAGAAGCAAGAAGAAACAGATAAAAAAAATCAATAAATTATATAAGAACCAAGAAGAAATAAAGAGTGATATAGCTGCAATAAAAAACACCAATGAAAGTTTCAACAGTAGACTAGAAGAAGTAGAGAACCGAATTAGCGAATTAGAAGACAGGGAAACAAAACACAGCCAAACTGAACAGCAATTGGAGAAAAAAATTAAAAGACAGGAGGAGAGCCTAAGGGAGATATGGGACAACATGAAACGAAACAACATACGAATAATATGGGTGCCAGAACAACAGAACGAGGAACAAGGGTTAGAAAACCTATTTGAGGAAATAATATCAGAAAACTTCCCAGAGGTGGGGAAGAAAAAAATCACACAAGCACAGAAAGTCCCCAACAAGGTGGACCCGAAAAGACCCACACCAAGACACATCATAATTACCATGGCAAATGTTCAGGACAAAGAGAGAATCTTAAAGGCTGCAAGAGAGAGATGGAAAGTTACATTCAAGGGATCTCCCATTAGATTATCAAATGATTTCTCAACAGAAACACATCAGGCCAGAAAAGAATGGACGGAAATTTACAAAGTGATGCAAAGCAAAGGACTGAATCCAAGAATACTCTATCCAGCAAGGCTATCATTCAAAATTGAAGGGGAAATAAGAAGCTTCACAGACAAAAAAAGGCTAAGGGAGTTTATCACCACCAAGCCAGCAATGCAAGAAATGCTAAAGGGACTGGTGTAAAAAGAAGAAATAAAAAGCTCAGAAAGAAAACAGCTACACACAAAAAGAAATGGCTACAAACAAGTACCTTTCAATAATAACTTTAAACGTAAACGGACTAAATGCTCCAACCAAAAGACATCGAGTGGCTGAATGGATAAAAAAAACATGACCCATACATTTGTGTCTATAAGAGACCCACCTCAGAAGAAGGGACTCACACAGACTGAAAGAGAAGGGATGGAAAAATATCTTTCAGGCAAATGGAAATGAAAAAAAAGCTGGGGTAGCAATACTTTTATCTGACAAAATAGACCTCAAAGTGAAGGCCATAACAAGAGATAAGGAAGGCCACTTCATAATACTAAAGGAATCAATACAATAAGAAGATATAACCCTGATAAACATATATGCACCCAATGCAGGAGCACCCAAATACATAAAAAAACTCCTGGAAGATATCAAAGGAGAGATCGACAACAATACAATCATAGTAGGGGACTTTAATACACCACTAACATCACTGGATAAATCCTCTAGACAAAAAATCAGCAAAGAAATAGCAATCCTAAATGACTCACTAGATCAGATGGACTTAATTGACATCTTCAGAACACTTCACCCCAAAGCCACGGATTATACATTCTTCTCAAGGGCTCATGGGACATATTCAAAAATAGACCACATATTGGGTCACAAACAAAGTCTCCCCAAATTC